GTACTGGATGATTACCTGTACACCACATCATACGACGTGAATCATTCAATGCTATTAAATGAGTACATTGAAATGTTTCCAAATAAAATTTATTTCGAACATCCCAACCTGAATTAGAAAATCGGTTCCAATAATTGAATTACCCAAGAACTATAGCAGGTAGATCAAACATTTTCAAAGAAAAATATGAATTGATATTGCTTAGCAGCAACAAACATTCATATTCATGGACAATCAACAGGAAATGTAAATCAGAGTACACAGAGATGCACTCATTCAACTAAATAAAGGGTTTGTGGGCAATGCTGTCGAAAAAGACTGAGCTGACAGTTACTGCAGCTCCTGGTGGGGTCACTCCCCTGCAAAGAGTGACACGTATGACCGTTACCACAAATGCATATAACCCCCTTTTGCGGTCAATTTCAAGGACATTTTGTGAAATTTAACCCCCTTTTTTACGTCAAAACAAGGACAAAATCGTACTTTGAAATACCCCTATTTATAAGATTGTAAGGACACTTTCGCAAATTTACCCCTATTTTACCATATTTCAAGGACAAGACTCGGCTCCGAGAATTTTTCTTCCCGGTTTTCTCTTTTCCCTTCCCGGTTTTCTTTTTTCCCTTTTCCTGACCCCTATTTATCAATTTCGAGGACACCTGTGCACCCCTATTTTCTTTATTTCGAGGAATATTTTGTCCGCGGACATTGCTTGAAATTGACTCCTTTTTCCGCGATTTTGGTAACGGTCATGCGGTCCGGAAGTCACATTGAGTGACCCCACCTGGCTGCAGCTACATAAATTTTGTACCAGTGAGAACATATCAAAATGCTGCATGTTTGGTCAATTTAAGCATGGGGCAACAGTGAGTGGGGTAGGTATTGCACTGGCATGTCATGGAAATGTGTAACATTAAGAGGTAATATAAAGAGTGTTTCTACTTTCAGTTATAAGTATATCATATCTCTGTAATAATAGGTTCATAAAACACAGACAATTTCTGTCATCAATCATATTACATTTGTAGTTATGATTACAGCAATTATGAAATAGAAAATGAAGTTCTCAGTTATGAGCACTGGTCCCAACTGCCTTTGGGGGATACAGTTAACAACTCAAGTATTCATACCTCTTGTAAATTTGATGTTTTTGTGTTTTTTGTAACTCAGGAATGAAAGGTGGACTGGTTTAATTACAGGGCCTTTGTTGAATACTTTTAAAGTGTAAACTTTAATGTGTCAACAAAATGTCACTTTTCAAGAAACATAAAGCAGATCAAGTTTTTTTAAATAAAAAACTTGGTAAGGTACATAATTAAGTTGTCAACTGTACGTATACTGTCCTGTAGTAACCTAGAGCTCTGTCTACAGATGCCCTTGGAATTGAAAGTGACTTCCATTGAGGAAAGCGTAGGTGGATACATGTTTATATTCAGCCCAGGTTGTTTTACAATTACATAAACAAAGAACTACAACTGTATTTAATGAATAAATAGAAATCCAGTTTCCTATCTCTGCCCATTTCCTTTGTGATACTGTATCACTTTACAATTTATTCTCCTTTGTGGGTGAAAATGTAACACAAGGCCTATAGTTTGACATTAGATTTGTAATTTGTGCTTAATTTTTCTCAAAACTTTATCTACATGTACTAGTTAGTCTGGATGTTTTTCTTAGAATTGTCCGCATCTTAATTTAGCCTGCAGCCACAGAAGTTTAATTTGACACTTAAAGGAAACTCCATGAAATCAGGGCAGCTGATGGTACAGGGCCTGTAGTTAGCGGGCTATGTGGCCAACTCATACCCTTTTCTAACTGCACTCTATCGGAGTCACACCGATGAAAATACCGATTGAATTTTCCTGATGTAAACAAAGGTGAAACCGCAGTTTTCCCCCTGTCGTTTTCTAACTGCCGGTGAAATTCACTCGCTGTGGCGAGCCCTTGCCGGAAGTGAAGAATTATTGCATAATTATTAAGCCCGCGCTCCATCTAGCTAGCATGCAGCATGTTCAACCATAAGTCAACAAACACAGCTGGTTACGATAAAGCGCGCGTATACTGCGACCTTTTACTATTTTAATCGCCTTTTTCTCCCGAACGTTTTCTAACTGCACGTTTCATCGGTGTCACACCGATAGAATGAGAATTTCTCCTGCTCTTGAGCAGGAGAATTTAATCGCCTATTTCTCTTCTTTTCATCGGCTATTTAATCGCCTTTTTCTCCTCTGTTGCTTTCTAAATGCCACTTTCATCGGATGCGTCCGGATGCATCCGATGAAAATCGGTGCAGTTAGAAAAGGGTATCAGACTGATGAAGACCTGCCTAATGGATGACTAGGGTTTGTACAGGTCTGCCAACTAATCCCAATCTGTCTTTTAATGTAGATAAGCTTTTTGAACTGATTGTCTGAATTTTGTCCTAAATTGCTAGGCAACTACATTTAAACATGACTAAAAACCTGAATGGGAAAAGCCGTCTCATGCAGGATAGTCACTTTCACAACACTGATAAATTTGTAAGAACAGATCTCATGACCAATATAATTCATTATTTACAAGTAATCATCTTTTATTAAAATAGACAGGATTTTGCACTGGAAATTTAATGCAATTATATAATCACAGACAATATCAATCTAATTTCCTGCTGTTAATGCAGTAAAGCAATTATCCTGCATCTTTGTGAAAAATAGTTCGTAAAGTGGTAGTAAGAAATAACTGGATACCAATGATGAGACCATGCAGTTCCATGTGCATGGACAATTAGGTAGTGTCGAATCAACTGCAATGTATTTTTATATAATACACAGCAGTGAGGGCATTACTATGAAATACCTACACAAGGTACCTTTAGAACAGTCTAACATGCCCAAGGCGATGACCGAGGGTGTTTGGACTGTTGAAGGTACCGAGTGTGTAATTTTACTAATGCCCGAACAAAATGATGTGTATTATTTGTTTTATTTGTTTTATAAAACAATGTTTTATAACATGATTTTACTAATGACTGGTCATTAGCAAAATTATGTGTTACAGGTAGGCAAAATAAATGCCTGGTCAGGTGTACACTTTCAACCAATTATTAGATTAGGATCCGCTTCATTATCTTATAATGTATACCATTAGGTTTTCCTGTTGCTAAATACAGGACAGTGTACGAAATGGGGAAGTTTAGCACCATTTAATGAAGGATGCAGTTTTATGGATATTAGATCTGACAATACGAACAATAGTTTGACAAACTTGTTAGTTTAAGGCTGGATGCAGGTAGAACAACAAATGATGAGTTCATGCTGTTGTTTGTGCTGTTTATTCAACGGACGATGGCTTCGTACAATAGATGCATACAGCCTCAACTGGAGTGCGAATAGATTGTATAATGAATTCATTCGCATGCATCATTTGTATTTGAGTGGATTAGATTGACATTTTCTCAATGGTTTGATATTGTAGACTATAAGCTCTGACACTAATAGTTATTAGAATAGAAAAATAAATACTTCTTGAATTGATGTTCAAAATCTAGGTGTTTTTGATCTATCCATCAGTTGATGAGATTTAAATGTATCTTTACCGACACAAAGTATTGATAACTAATGTACCTACTTTAACAAATAGACATTTATATAATACATTTGTATTATAATTATTATTTCATTTCATCGTCATCATGATGGTCATCTTCATCATCATTAATACTTATCAAATTAAAAAAATTGGTCATACCAATCACTACAGAAATTGCAATATAATGTAATACATGACTGATGATGCAACAAGTAATTAAAAAAAAAGTAACAGTTGTAATAAATTTTGTTACAATATTCTGACTTTTTTTTTTAAAGGAAATATATTTGACGGAATTAGGTTGGGTATTTGTTGTTCAGCATTCAGCTTGACAGAAATTCATCATCGCTAATATATAAAGAAAACTGACAAAAAGATAGTATTTCTTACTTCCTCTTCCGTTACTTGAAACTTAGTTTCATTTGATCATGATTGATACTGAGTATATACGAAAATGACAAGAAGAAATTAGTACAGTAAAACCTGGTATTGTGGCTAGCTGTTTATACAGGTCACATATCTATCTTGAAATGAGTGATGTAGATCTTGACTAGAATGTCTCTTGTATACAGTGGTCATTTTCCTTTTCCCTTATTAGGTGACCTTTATAGACAGGTTTGACTTGTTAGGTTTAAAATTCTCTTCCTCCATATGTCAATTTGATATTTCACCTGTTTTGAACAGTTGTGTACCAGTTTCATCACCCCAAGATAAAATGTAATGTCCTAATTTCCAACCTGCAGTACTCTCTTCCATGCCATGCCCCCACCCTGATACCGTACCGAATATGCGCTCAGAACTAGCTTTCATTTCTAATTTTTGCATCAGTCTTGAATCGTATACCAGTGTAAAACTGGGAAATTCTGTAGATTTGTTAAAGGTAAAGACCGGTAGTGGTAAAATTGCAGTTCAAGGGTTTTGGGTGCATAATATCCATTCAATATTGTTTAAATATTGCCTTCAGAGGTTTAGATGGCAATACTTCAACCTAAATTTGCAATAAAGCAGAAATATATGCCCAAATGTTTAATGTTGAAGTGCATTCGCAATATTTATCCAGGCTGGATTGATATGATAATTCACCAAATACATATCAATTAGCAGGTGGTTTCCCGGCAAAATTTATATCATCATGTAATAGTCAAAACATATTCTTTCACATGATTGGTAATAAGAGCTAATTCCCTTTCATTTTTTGAGAGGGGAAGGAGCGTTTCCAAAACTGGTCTATACCTTTAAAAGAGAGCAACAGTTTTTTTGCTACATTAGGGAAAGATGAAGCAAAGCGTGAATGTCACTAGAGTTGTATATATATATAGCCAACTATGTCATGCCTTCCTGAAACTCACTCAAGCATACACGGTTCCAAAGATCAACCTGATTCATTCTGCTTGTGAATTAGGATTTTATTGCGAACTTGACTAGTTTCATTCCTCTGCTGAGCTTCATATGGAAAGGACAGTCTGTGTTCTGTAGCTCGATCTGTACGATGTAACTTTGGATATAAGGCAATGTGTATTATTGCATGGACCTACTTGCTTTTTTAAGTGGAACATTCGGGAGCAGATATTGATTTTCACACAGCAAAATAGTATCTTCAGCTTTTAATATTGGGCTCGTTTTGTGAGCAAAGAAATATTCATAAGCGAAAGAGAGGTTAGGTGCTTCATGCCAGACAACAAATATTAAAAGAGACAGTTGAGCTCTGCATTACCATATCAGAGTAAAGTTCATCGATGGAATTGTATTTGATTGAAAGATGGGGAATACTTCTAAACTAGCAACATCAACTTGAACGGTGATAAATGACGACTGAATTAATTGCACTATTTTGTGATAGTCTTCTAGTCCAGAACAACCAACATGACTAATACTTTTTGTTGTCAATTGCGAGTACTGACTTAGGGATAACAAACTAATTATTGTCTGAAGAGTACTTACATGTACAATATATTTACTTTTGCTAGCTTGGAATTTGTCTAATTAATATCAATTTTATGGATGAAAGTACTTGATGCCAGTCAATCTTGTTAATCTTATTAATCTTGATGTGTTAATATACATTGTATTACACATGAAGAGGAGATGAAGGAGTTTTGTCACATGGTCCATTCTCAGTTCTAAATACTGGCGTGTATCATCTTGTTTGTGGCATGTATTCAGTGATCAGACAGTATCATACTCTTACTGATTTCTTTGGGAAAAGTGGTGCGTCATACTAGACTGTATGTAAGTGAACAGATACTTATTTTCAGCACACATCGCAGACACCAGAAAACATCTCGCACTTCAAATAAAATTACAAATCGGTCCGAGGGATATTTCATTATGGCTACTGCTTCTTCTTCTGCTGGAGAGAGTGAGACAGAACCTGCAAACCAAACTCCGGATAGCACTGGTAAGGCAACAATTCATCTTGATTTTACATTAGTATTATAGGGTCAGGATTAAAGGCAGAAATCAGCAATCTCAAAGTCTTCTATAGCTCCATTTACACTTCAAGCAAAAATCATTGATTTCTCTCACATTCAGGTGTTTTGTCAGGAGTTGCGAGGCAACTACCGGTAATCATGACAGAGGAGTTAAACCGTGAAACCCAAATCTGGAGAATGACTTTTGAAAAGCTGGCAGAAATTACACAGAATTTTTGTCGCGTGACTGTCCTCGCTTTCAGGCCATCGCATGCTGAGCAGCAACAATTCTCGCATGCGCACTATTAACTTTATACTGAAAACAAGGATGAGCGAACACTGACAAGTGACAGTGTTTTATGGGGTTTTCCAGTAGTGTGAATAGCAGTCCAAAAACCTGATGGTTTTTCAAAATATGGGGCTGTGTAAATGAGCATAATGTATAAATCTATTCCACATTTTCAGAGAAATCATGTTATTCGCCACTTTCCAAGGTGTTCTTTGCAAGAGTTGTAAGATCTGAGAATTATGAATTATGATACCAATCAAACTCTTACACTAATTTATCAAATTTGTAAGTTTTTCTTCATAATTTAAAAAACACAAAACAAAAGCAATATTAGTTGGTCCCTCATCCTCTGTTCAATTGTACTCTTTTCACACTGGTTTTGCTTAACCCCGTACTTTGCTTAGCCCCGTACTATCCTTAACCCCGGACTATTTGTTTTGCTTTTCACACACGATGTCTTTAGTCCCGTACTAGCGCCTATTCCGGAATAAGAAAATTCCCGCTGTTCTCACTGCATTTCGTTAACCCCGGATATCGTGAATGTTATGATTGGACTTACTTCGCATCTGGCCAGCTGCAATACGCTCCGTTGCGTAGTACCAGACTATTTTTCGTTTCTGTTCTCATTCATTTGCTTAGCACCGCAATTGCGGGATTAGCAGGAGTTAGCACCACAATTGCGGAGTTAGCCCTGCTATTTTGCAGGGTTAGTTAACTATAGGTGGGGTTAGCCAACTTTAGCCCACTTTGGTAAAAACCAGTCTGAACAGAAAGTGGAATAGGCTGAACCCGTACTACAGGTGGGGCTAAGACCCCCCTTAACCCCACCTATAGTACAGGGTTAAGCAAAATATTGCCAGTGTGAAAACAGTATTGGAGTTCAAGAAAAAAAATCATAAGAGTCAGAATTAAAAAGTGTACTAAAAGGTAAAAAATATTTTACTCAGATTACTAAGAATTGAAACTGTAGAATGAAATTTGACCTTTTGAGTTCACACCTGTAGCAATATTTGCAACCAAGTTGTCAGGAAATCAGTAACCATGTGTGGGCAATATCATAATAAATATAGGAAATGTAGAACAATAAACATGATACAACAGGTCACAAGGGAAATGTGGTTCATTAATTAGCTAAAGGTAGTAAAGCTAAACCACAGGATTGTATTTCTGTGGTATGGATTCAGGTCAATTGTTAGACCATTTTTGTAGGTTATAGGTGGTGTGTCAGACCAAGTTTGCTGTCAAAATAGGATTTTCCAACTCGATGACAAGAAAAAGAGCAAAAGTCTCTAGATTTACAAAAATGCACAGGTAATTGGATTGAATAGAGGATGTATGAAATCTTGAAAAGGGGGCTGTAGAAAAGGCAATATTTTTTTCATTTGCTGCGATGGAGTTTCAAATAATACAAATTTGCCAATTATGAATATTCTTCATTTTTTTTTCATCACAAATTCTGACTGGGGGATGTCAGAAACCCTCCTGTATCCTTGTGACACTCTGGATGCATTTTGTATCCAAAATTAGAAAATAAGGAATAGTTCTTTTTTATTAAATTCTAATTTATATAAACCTCTCTTCTTCCTGAAACTCTGAATCCCATTGTTGGTGGCTGTTGCAGCTGAGTGGACAACCAGTGCAAGTATTCCTTTATTTCGTTGGTGGTTGTTGCAGCTGAGTGAACAACTAGTACAAGAATTTTCTTTTAGAAGGGCCCCATTAAATTAGGCCTACTTGGCTGGATTTGAATATTGTGCTATTTAGAATTTATATTTACATGAAAATGACTAAAAAAAACAGGAAAATAATTTACAGTGAGGTGTTACTTATGGGGATGTTGGTATAAACACACATCCAACTCCTGAATTATTTTTGGCCTTTTTCCTAGAGCCACATTTGGACTTTATACTGAAATATAAAAAAGGTCTGTTTTCATCAGCTTGAGTTTGCCAAATAACCAGCTATTTTTAGACTCAGGATATTAACCCGACTGATACTCTCATCACAAACTTTCTCGGAAGGGCGCAAATTAGCCCACTATTTCCCAAATAGCGGGATATTTTGGAAACAAAACCAAATATCCCGCTAATTGCAACTCAAGCTGATGAGGACAGGCCTAATGAGTCTAATTGTTTTAACATATTTGTGGCTTACACCTAGTAAAAAAGATTAATTGATTGATCTGTAATTGAAAACAGGTCAAAAATAAATTAGTCATTATTTAGACCTAATATTGATTCAAAAAGTAGAGAATATGGTAGGTTTCCCCCAAACAATTAAATGACTAATATTGATACATACATGTAATTAGAATATAATATGTATACAAGCCAATATTAATCCCCCATAATTTTTTTTGTTTTTCCCTTCATGTAGTGCCCGGGCAACCCACATTAGAAGGTCATTTATGTGGTTACAACTGTGACGGGAGTCTGTAAATTTGCACAAAAAAATTATGATTCATATTTAATAAAAGGTGAATGATCTCGGTGTTTCCAGGCTGCTGGAAAGTGGGGGTTGTTGTCAGTATGCTAAATGACAACATTCTGACTGTAGTAGTCTGCAGAAGATATAGAAAACTTAGTTTTGTTGTAAGTTTACTAAATACATGTACATGAATTTAAATGTTACTATTTTTCACATTCACTCATTTTACAAAACATTTTTTTGTTAAATTAGCAAGTGCAGGTAATCATAGGCAAATCGAATCTAGGCTAATTAACACTTACAGGCATTGTTTTATAAACAATGTTTCCAGTTTTACAAATCTGAGATGCATGGCCCCACGTGTTATCAGTGTCTGTGATATGGTGTAATATTGAAGCCCGGCCTAAAAAAATTGCGCTTCAAAATGATCATGAAGTGCTTCAAACAAGTAAAAATCTTTTAGTGACTAGGTTTACCATACTCATTTTCCTGAATAGACTGTAGTGTTATAAAAACCGTTAGGAAAACTGTTTTTGAAATTTTGAATTCAAATCATAAATATCTTGATAATCAGACAGGCGATCGGCTGATTCCTGACTGACCTAAAGGTTTATTATAATGATTGCAGGTTGAGCTAAATCCAGGATTTTTTTAATAATCTGAGGCAAAGATACCTAATTCCTTTGAGTAAGGGTCTACATGTATGATTTTATCACATTTGGCTATAAAACGTTTCCTTTGCATGCAAATGTATTCTGTCAATTAAAGAACCCACATGATACCACTTTTCAAAATGACCTTTGAGAAAGGAAAAATCTTCTGTTGTTCAATCTTGCATCTACAGACAAACTACAGGTGTAGAGTGTCTCATCTTCACTCAATTAATTAGCGCTTGACGCCGGGCTTTGACAAGGTAATTACAATCTAATTATCACAAGTACGGGAGGTGAGAAGATGCCTCTCTGGGCTGGCTTCTCACCTGCAGAAAAGAAGAGAATTGTTGAAAACACTAGCTGTGACGTAGGCGGAGTACTTGATCCAGGAAAGGAGAGCCCAATTGAAAAGTGCTCCGCAAATTAAGTCCAATTGAGTAAGCTTCCTTGTCAGTACGTTGGGCTGCTGTGTCTTTGGCAGAATAAAGGAAGACATCTATTAAAGCAACATCCATCGTCCACGCAGGCAGCTTCGGAGGAAATTGTTTTGTTTGTGAAGCCTACTTTTTACCGTGCTTTAGTTTGGAGTTGGGACCCAGTAATGGTGTATGCTGTATTCATGTGGTTTTCAAGCTGCAAGCACTGTCTTCTGGGCTTCGTATTTCTTTGGCTTGAGAATGAGTATTGAGGTACACAACAATTCATGAATATTGTGACGCTATTCTGCAGATTATCTTGTTTTATTGATATTTATAAAAGTTTTGCAGGAGTTTGAGAAGCAGTGTCATATGGATTACGGATTAAGAGTTTAAAAACTTTGCTGGTTTCAAAGGCCGAATGTATTCAGCATGTGAACTGAGTATCTGTGGCACTTAGCTTCAATTTTAAGAAAGGATTGTCAAATTGAGATCATCTTTATTTGAGCTTTGTTGGTAAGACCCTAATATTATAACTTACCGTAAATCTCTGTGTATAAGGCGCACCCCTTTTTGTTTTGTTGTTGTTGTTGTTTTGTTGCCGAAAACCCACGCGGGGAACGACCTTCATTTTACATCGAGGTGCAGTTGAAGTTGTGAACTTGTCACAAATAATAGTAACAACAGTCTAAGGCTTCATAATACCAAGTGTCCCACACCAGCCTCCTCACATCACCTAGCAGAAGCACTGTGTTCTATGCCAAACATCAATAGTCATGCATGATATGAATAGCATCCTCTAAATTTCTGACAATGGAGTACCTAGGATAGAACCTTGTGGTACACCATTTGTTATAGAAAAAAAAATTAAGGAATTATTATTATAAACTACATATTGAGATCTATTAGAAAGATTACTTTCAAACCAAGATGACAGACAAATTTGAGTGTTGTTGTAGTTTCTGAGTGGTGAGTCAACACACTGATTACTGAGCTAGGAGACATTGCCAGGCATAGCGCCATAAATCAAAACTAAAAAAAAAAAAAAAAAAATTCTGTACCTGTGTATAAGACGCACCCTCGACTTTCAATTTTTTTCGGCGGCAAAAAAGTGCGCCTTATACACGGAGATATATACGGTAACTTTCCTTTACTCCAACACATTTCTATAGATAATTCTACACAGCTTTATAATTGTCAGATCATAAATGCATTGTGTGTAGATATTGTAGTTTCAAAGTCCAGGTAAAGGTTGTTGGCATGCTGCCTGAATTGCATCATCGATATATTTTGAAAGAATCTAGAACATATATGTGATAATTCCAAAAATAGAAACATGACATACATGTACACTGTAAGGTGCTGGTGGAATGCAATTTTTACAATATGTTGACAATTAATGAAATTATTGATTTTAAATCAATTACTCTCAAGTATCAATCATTCAATAATTCATGTTTTTGGTACATGCAACTAATAGTGTCTGTTCCGTATTATTCATAAATATATTTTGAATTAGATATGAAAGATTGTCCCTGGTTATGGAAACAAGGAGAGTATTGCTGAATTTACACCCAGAATAAGATATTTCTTAAATAAGGAGCGTATCTGGAGGCACATCTGTGAAAATGGAGTACCGGTATACCATTTTCGAATCTTGCTCTTTACTGATAATAACATTACCTCCTCCAAAACTTGCTTGTTGATTATATTGCAATATATTTGTAGGTTGCAGGTTTCTCATAATGAAACTTGCCTGTTCATGATTCAGTTGCAAATTAATCATTAGGCCCGTTCACACATAACAATTAGTGCGATTTGGATCGCGAGGCAAAGATCTATTTTTTTTGCGACTGTTCTCACATGTCAATTTAGTGCGAATTGGATCGCGATGCAAAGATCAAATTTTTGTTGGCGACCATTCACACACGGAGAATTCTCACTCGACAACATGAATGTCCGAACTGTGCATGCGTGAATCTCGACGATGTATGCGTGTTTGGAATCCTGGGATTAAATTAATTGATTTATGATTCTCAATACCATTTACGCACACAGCGCCCGGCAAACTATCACAATTATTTTGAAAAATCGCAAGACTTATATAATACGAAATAAAAATGATGATGCGAATCGCGAAGATTAGTGATATTATTCTGTCCACACACGCAAAAAAAGAAGAAGATTTTTGGATCGCGCTGCAAAAATCAATTTTTAAGTCTCACTTTTTTCTTACAGTGTGAACGCCCCTATTATTAATCTAGAGCGTTTCCTGATATTGTTGATATTAATTATAATTGATATGTTTAAAATGGATTTGGCTCATTGGGTTTTAAGATCGGTTTCACATCTAAATGAAAAGTATCATAAACGCAATAAAAACATTAAAGTCTACCAATCACCTCAAAAAAGAATTTGAGTACGGTCTAATGGGTAAAATCAACCTAAAAAAACTTTATCTGGCATTTTATGGAAGAACGGATGAGGAGTTTCAAAAGAATAAAGATAACATAATATAATCAATAAGTTACTCTGCCGCCAAGTCTACTACAGTATGTCACAAAGAGCATGATAGTACTGCCATATGAAACCATTGTCCCCCTTCATTTGTTCTTTGTTCATTTTTACTTGTACAGTGAAACCTGTATAAAAAGAATGCTCAAGGGAAACAAGAAAATTAGTCTTTATAAGCAGGTGGTCTTTAAATGTACAAATTCCTTTAGTACATGTTTCAATGAGAAACCATTGTCAAGGGCAACAAATACTGTGGTCTTCATAGACAAGTGGTCCTTCTATACAGGTAGTTGCTATAAAAGCAAGTTTGACTGTACATGAATATTCTTCCATTCGATCAATCATCAAGTCTTCTTTCTTATTTCAAGCAGGAAGACAATTTCAAATTGCTATCATTTTGGGCATAGGGTGAAGGCATTGTATGTAACCCCAAGCTGGTATTTGAATTGTATGTAAAGTTTTCAGTTTAGAGTGATGGTCATTCTCCAAAAGACAATCAGAACATACTGATTGAAAGTGAAACGACAAGAATTGTAGAGCTCCTAGCAAAACTCTCCAGCCCTTTCAATGATTGTGTTCTTTTGAAAGAACTTCTTGGTATAACCCTTAAAATATTTTGTCTGCAATTCAGTTTCTTTACCAGGAAAAAGAATTGCTGATGCATCACTCGTAAAAGAGGATGATTATTTATAGATTTGAATGTCGTACGGCACGCAGCGTCCCGTTTGTCACGCAGCACATTAATTACATTAAAAATTAATTAATGAATTGGTCAGAACTAAAACTTTCCACAAATGAACTAGCCCATTGCAGACTCACACCAAAAGATAGCCATATAAATAATTTCATCTGTTGTTATTTCTTGTTTAAAGTCTATGAATGTCCCGTACATCACAATCCAAATAGCTTGAACCTGCCGATCTATGATCATCATCTTAAGAATTAGAAGTAGCTGAAATTAAAGACTTTGAATGGGCTTTTTATCGTTCAACACCATAGATATATCACTAACAGGGCCAACTGACATATAGCTTTCCTGATTTAATGATATTATGAAATACGTTTCAAAGTATATGGAAATCTACATTTGAAATAAGTATTAGAGACAAGAATACAAAACAGTAGTTCTAAAATATAGGGAAGAAATTATAAAACATTCAGATAATGTTGAGAAATTGAAAATGATAAACTTTAATTTTACAGTGTCTTAATTGTTAACCATCTATACATGAGCTCTAATAAAGCAGTTCCAAGATTGGAACCTTAGTTTGTATTTATGAGAGATTATTGATTTGTACATTCATGAGCAGTACCCCTGAAGAATCATATCACACCTGACAACAATAGGGATTCAGCATTTTGTCTCTCTTCCTCTTCTATCAATTAAGTCTTGAAATAGTGGATTCCATCATTGTATTTCATTTTAGCTAGTCTGAATTGTATTACATAAAGATTTCTACATTATTGTGACCCTAGTCTTATCATGGACGACCTACTGCACTAGCCTGTAAATTACCTTTTGTTGAAAACACGTTCATGCTCCGAAAATGTTTTCACATCTCTTTCTCTCATGTCTGTCGCCCTCTCGTCCCTCTTAAAAGATATATATCTTTAGATTCCCTCTTTCTCCTACATGTATCTCTACCTCTTCCTGACTTTGCTCTCCCTTGTAAATAAAAATATTGTTATAACATACAAATACAACTTACATCAACTTCACCAAACATCATTAAAATAAATTTAACATAACCTTCAAATTTAGTAGGCAAGCTGGCTATTCAATGTCGCCCATCTTTGCTCTGACAGAGATCTCAAGGTAGTAGACAGCAAGAAACTGTGTGAATAATCACTTGGCTTGGGAAAGTCCTCTGGGGGGTGTTTCACAAAGATCCTAAGTAGAACTTAACTCTAAGTTGGACTTAAAAATTATGGACAGCCATTGGAGTCTTAAAATGAAATATATTCAAAAGCAGAAATTCAAGTATTTTAGACTTTTTATAAATTCCACATCAAGAACATAGAATCTCCCATGATAATAGAAAATATGAATGATTTGAATCAACATTTTATGTCTTTTAAAATAACTTTTACAAAATGTTTTCAAGGATGCTAATGGCTTTCCATAATTTTTAAGTCCAACTTAGAGATAAGTTCAACTTAGGATCTTTGTGAAACACTCCCCTGGAGTGGATAGTAAGCTTGGGTAACTAAATGTTAAGGTTGGTAGAAGCTTAATCTACATGTGATGATTACCCCAACCAATGAAAGTTTGCTGTAGTATAAAGGTAACATGTGGGTAAACTAATCCACCAACTCCACCAACTCGTCTCCTTCTCTCTTCCTCCCTTCAGACATAGACCAACCCTCAGACTTAGACCAACCCTCTGAAGAAAGCAGTGGCATGGAGCGCAAGAATACAGCTCTGGGTCCAGGCAAGTTAAAGGTAATACAAAACTTTTGGTATGGCGTCATGAATTTGGTTCAAATAATATTGGAAGCATATGCAATTTTACAATATTCATAGTGTTGTTGCGGTTTAAATCGTGTCTAAGGTGATGAAATTGTAAATAATAAACTCTTTATGTTGTATAGCTCCCTCCCAAGACTGATATTACATTAGCTTTAAAACAATGTTTCTAGACTGCAATCAACTAATTTCTTATTCCTGTTTGGAAATTATATATCAGAACTGCATATTCTGAGATTTTCATGGTCGCAGCTACCATGAAATGGCCTTAGGCGCTATTTGAAATTTACCTGGAGCACCCGTAATTGTTGTATTATTCAATTTCTCAAAAGCAGAAGTGTTTTAGGGGCTAATTTTTTAAGTGCTTATAATACATCCGCAGGGGCATCCAAATATATCAAAGCTTTAAAGAATTACTATCCATCCAATTTTTAAATTTCCCAAAACTTTGCATCACCTTTAAAGGAGCTTCTAGAGAGCAACTGGAGCAAACTGCTTGACCATCTGGAGGTGGACCGCATCATACCAAGGTTCCAGGATGCCCGTCACTTTGATATAACGGACAGGGAGAGAATCACAAATGCATCCAAGTACCCTACATCAGCAGACAGAGCTGGTAAGTCAGGCTCCAATAACTCTCTCAATACAGCTTAAAATATGTCTTGAGTTCTATTTTTCTGAACACAAACAAAAATTGTAGAGACAGTATAGAGTGCCACTAGTAGGGGAACCCTACCTTAAGCCTCGGTCACAAATGCCATTACGAACGCCGTATGAACGATTTTAATTTCAGACAATGGAAATTCGGAAAGACAATGGAAAAACGGAGATTCGTACAAAATTATCGTTCGTAAGAACCTTTGTGACCGTAGCATAAATTGCAAACAACTCTAAAAGGAAGCAGAAAATCAGAGAGTCAGACTGATGAACGTTTGAAGGCAGTCAGACAAAAAATTAGAAACTTATGAATTTGTGAAAGTTGTAATCACTATACGTATGGGAACTTCAAATTGGCTGAATCGGTAATGTCACTCTGACGTAGTGGCGGACAACTTACCCACTTGTCCCAACACACAAAATAGATATCAATAGGAAATCACTGTTTGTGATGTTAGGAACCAGAGCAAAAGAACAGTGATTTCCTATTTAAATTAATTCATGAACCAGAGCAAAATAACAGTGAAATTCCTATACTAATTGAAATCTATTTATATAGATGGGCATATATTAGCCAATACTCAACATATTCAATTGGTTTTCAACTTTTGGACATTAGTTATGATGCTCTTTAGGAAAATGAAGTTCAAATGTTGAGACTCTAAAAATAGTTTTTTTGATGATGTCAAACTTGACCACTCTATAGTATACAAATGATGCACAGGTTTGAGTGCGTCGGTAGGGATTGTGTGCACAAGGTACCTTTGAATGGTTTGAACCCATGAGGCGCAGCCGAGTGGGATTTAGACCGAATTCAAAGGAACCGCGTGCACACAATTCCACCGACCCATGAATTAAACCTGTGCATAATCTGTTGTATAACATGGGGCCCCAAAAATTGTCAAAAATATATATATATTTTTTTTTTACAGGTTTACCGGATGCATGGCAAAATCATGCATCCGGTAATGATTTTTAACTTATCATGAAGTTTAAAAAAAAAAAAAAAATTGTCAGTGCACATTAAACTATAAACAAAAATTTAAAAAAATTATAGATTTTTTTTTTTTGTAAACAGATTATAGTTATCAAAAAACATGAAAACCAAATATCACCAATTTTTTTTTATAAAACCCCCCCCCCCCCAAAAAAAAATAATTACATGGTAATTGACCAATCAGATTGCAGGGATTCTTCTACCCATCTTATAATACTCCCAATGTCGAAGACATGGATACTGTGGTATTTTGTAAAATAGTGTTTATTTTTTATTATGTGACACACTTTTAACCAAAAAAAACCCTGGTAAATTTGTTTTCCCTTATATGACCATGATCTGAACAATAAATTGAAAGCTTCTATACATGCCTACTATCCAACTCAATAGCCTCAATTCACTATTCTATAGAAACACACATGTCTATGTTTGCTTTCAAGCTGTGTTATATAGAGCTAAGGCATAAAGGGGTTTTCCCTATTTTAGTACCTGGAGTAACTGGGAGGTAGTCTAAATGTCAGACAGATAAATTAACAAGATGTTCATGCCAGTTAGATCAAATGATTCACAACTGAATGAGTGAGATAGGATTGTTTTACCATGATAAAATACAAGTTAAACGTTGCATTGTGATCTTCTTGCTCAAAAGCATTTGTTAAAGCCAGAATCGTGTTCCTGCTCTCACTCTCAGCTCAAATTATTCAATTTGTTCTTGTCTTTGATACATGTACATCAGTACATGCGAAAGACTCCAAACAAAATGTTTTATTATTTGTGCTTTTGGCTTGCTCATTTGAGAGAAACCTACACGTATTGTGTTATTTCATTTGAGCAAACAAGTGTGTAATTAAGACGTCATGATATATTTTAGTATTCTTTATTAATATTATTTGTGTACACATTACATTTCTATGTATCAAGGGAGCCTTAATGGTGTATCATAAAACAGGACTGGTAACATCCATTCAGGATTCATCCTAATCAAAAAGTCAACAGAAAAAAACGGGGTTTTAGTGAGTCATTATTTACAACCGGTGTAATGATCAAAATAGTTATGAGCACTACTCTTTCTAAAGCAGTTTTGTGATGTGCCTGTATTTTTAATGGAAGTAGGCAGAACTATCTATATGACCTTTACCTTTTTGAATGAAACTCTATAGACTATTCTTTTTGTTCCCATTTCTTTACACTGTTTGCATAGAATAATATTACTTAGCAAACACTCCTCGCCAATTCAGTCAAGGTTTTTATTTCCTCTTATTTATTTATTTCTTCCTTTTTTATGGAGGGGGGGGGGGGGGGTAATGGATATCTCTTCCAGGCCCCCCCCCCCCCCCCATTGCACAAAACTTACCACTGATGGTAACTTTGCCTTCAATGGCAACTACCATGGTTTATAGGGCTCAACAGCCAATCAAAATCAAGGTTTCCATGGTACACATTTGGTTGATTTCACAGGAGTTTTATTTTGAATAAAAATTTGTATGCATGAACTGTAACACTGAATGTTATATGAATAGTTAGCCGTCGTACATCTTGACAGTATGACATATGTTCCTTTTTTGGAACAGGACAAAATAAATAAAGAAGCAAACAAACCTGCTGTAGGCTTCAATAAAAGATGTCTTTAAGAAATTAGGAGAAACTTACTAGCTGAAGAATGATCACAGACAGATAAAAATAATTCAATTTTCAATTTCATTTATTTCCACAGATTCATAAAATACAGTATAAATTACAATCAAGTATAAAAGCATTACAACAAAAGATGAACCTGCAGAGGGGGTTATCAAAAACCACAGAGGTTTATCGGGGATCATCCCCTGCTTAAAATTACAATATCAAAATACAATAGTTTTTTTTTTTTAAATTAAACAATAACACATACAAAAACATATATAGATATTACATGCAAATCTATGTGTGGGGTGAGTAGTAGTGGGTTGGTGGTACCAAGAAATACGATGTAAGCTACAAGCTGAATGAAGTACATGTAGTCCTGATTCTCACATATAACATGTCATCTCAAACATGTGTGTACAAGTTCTTCTTCTTCAGTTGCAGGTGTATTGTCCGTACTGTTGCTTTTGAATAATTTGTGGTTTTCCGTATTTGCTTGTCTAAATGACCGATCTATACCGCTTGTTCATCAAACTTTAAGTCCACTTCTCACACAATGCGATTTCATGACCAGATTTCAAGATTACGGTAGGCCTATTCTGTAGAGAAAAATCTGTCCTTAAAGATATATTCTTTGAATATAACCCTGTAGGAATGACTGATAGAAAAAAGTCTAATATTTTCCCTAAATTTTCTATGAAGATAAAAGCACCTCTCTATTATATTTTGCTTCCGCTCAGACGGTCAAACTACTGATATTATTTTTCTATGATGATGAAAGCAGTGGCCTTTAGAGGCTTTCTTGGCAATGCTGACAATAGGCCTGTCTTCATCAGCTCGAGATGCCAACTATCCCGCTACCGGTATTTGAACTATCTCGATCGCGAATTATCTAGTTAATTTGCGTCTTCATCAGCCTGAAGTTGCAACTAGCGGGATTTGGTTGAGATAATCATCCCAAGACATCTCGGGCTAGTTTGCAAAATATCCCACTATTTGTCCGGTGCGTTTTAACCAGCCTGAAGACAATGCACGACCGCTGAGCAAAATATCTTGAGCTCCAGTTTCAAGTTTTGACGCCAACTCTCGAGCTGATGAAGTCAGGCCTATTATCTCCCTTCTGATGCAGGTATTCTCCTGGACACGGTGTTACGAAGAGGTCCTAAGGCCATAGAGCTCCTCTTCAATCAAGTGGAAGAGCATTATCCAGACCTGTACAAGGAAATAACCGGTAGAGAACCAAAAATCACCAGAAGAAGAATGCAGACATATTTAAATCGTAAGTACATGTAGAGTAGTCTGTAGAACAATATCAATTTAATATGTAGATAACAAATATGATGTCACCCAATGTTTGTTTTTCATTAACCCAGCGCTTTGGACGTCTATGTTCTTTTTTGTTATTTCAAGGCGTAACGTATTTTGGTGTTTTCTAGGCAAGTTAAAGTTAAATTGAGCAAGGTTTGCGGTTTACACCATGTATTCTTTCGAGAGGTTTGGATGGCCCTGAAAAGGTCCCACTCATGCTCTATCTCAACGTTTTGATAGGTTGTACCTATAGTTTCCAGGATTTTGTGCATCCTTCCTGAAGACGATAGGTACAACCCATCAAGACGTTGTCAAGACGGAGCATGAGTGGGACTTTTTCAGGGCCAACCAATTACCCTTGATCAAAAGAATATGTAGTGTAACCGTGGTGTAATCTATCATCACTATGTAAGCCTTCAAAGATTACAAGTTGATAAAGGTAATTAATGTTATTGGCAAAAGTCAAGTGGGTCAAGAACACATTTTATATTTTCTAGGATTTGGATACACTCTGTAAGATAGAACGTAATCCATAATAGTTCCATTCTAGAATTCCTGCATTCACTGAGAAATCACATGTGCAGAGTTTAATTTTGTAATTCGTGGATGGGTCATGTGTTGAGAAGTGAAGATGATGAACCTGTCAAAAGATCATGGGATCTGGAAGTGGATATTAAAGATAAGAGGGAAAGGAAGACCAGAGATTTCATGGAAAGATATGGTGAAGAAAGAAAGTAGTCAGGTTGTTCCAAATGAAGAGGATACTCGAGACAAGAAGAAGTGGAGGGAGGGAGTATCATCGTGGCATGAAAGTCAGTAACCCCTTGTACGGGGGAAAATGCTGAGTTTGCTGACATTAAAGGTAAAGACCAGTATTGGAAACGCCCCAATTTCAAAAAATGAAATGGAAGCTCTCATTACCAATCATGTGAAAGAATATGTTTTGACTAATACATGATGATAAAAAATTTGCCGGGAAACCGCCTACTAATTCATATATTTGGTAAATTTGTTTCTCTCATGGTCTGTGAGAGATATAGGGTAGTCACATATACATCTTTCTGTGTATAGTGCTTGTAACTTTACGAAGAATGGGCCAAATTTCTTATCATTTTGATGATTCCAGAACCTTGCAGATGCTAGATGCTAGATGCTAGATGATCAACCTTTTCTGATCGATTCCACAACGTTTCTTTCACAATGCAATCGCATGACCATAACTGGTCTTTACCTTTAATAAATAATGATGATGATGATGATGATGGCGATCAACTAAGTGGCACGCCCCTGAGCCATGTCAGTCAATATGCTGGTATTATCATGTAGCCAGGGTTGGTGGCTTATAATGCCCTTCTACCTTCTTCTATCAGAAGTTCTTGTTCTGTCCTGTCTATCACTTGATGTTTAAGTAATAATAATAATAATAATAATGCAGATATTTATAATGCGGAAACATATCCTCACAGATCAGGTTCTCAAGGCACTTAAAGAAAAACAATTCATGACGAAACTACTCATGAAGATGCTTATTAAAGGTACGACATACATGTACATGTACCAAACATATTCAGGAGAAAACGCTTGTGAAAACACTTGTCACAAGGTGTTTTCAGTTTTCTCTCAAATTCATCTACAGTCTTACAATCTTAATTGCAATGATTTTTGGCACTACGTAGGAGCTGCTAGCTGACATAACTGTTCTAGCTCCCAAACCCCTATCAAACATCTTCCTGTTTGACAGGATGCTGTCTAGAATAATAATAATATTACAATTCACGTATTTGTATAGGGCATAACAATATAGCCATAATTGCATGTCTCTATGCGCTTTAAAGGGATTGGGTAACTTTGTCTCAGATTCTGAAAGTGAAACAAAATCCTGGATATAGCTTATGCCGGTCACTCAAAGATTTTCACTTTTTTGAGGCACTTCTTGATCCTTTTGAAGCGCAATTTTTTTAGGGCTTCAATATTACACCATATCACAGACACTGATAACATGGGCCGTGCATCCCAGATTTAACAGTGTTAAAGGATGCCTTTGATAATAGTTCATAATAATTTTCATTCGTGTATGTAGGCCATAAAGAGAGAGGTCTTCCTCCTGGGATAACCATGAATATCCTCACACAGCTGACGGAGATGGTAGGAGTTAAGGAGAAGCAAGAGGACGAGCTGAGGATACGAAACAGAGAACTTGAAGCTCAGAGACTGGCCATCAAGAAGCTGAAGCAGAGCAAGGAGAGGATTCAGATGAAGAATAAAGCACTCCTTTCAAAGAATGAAGAAAGAGATAAGGTACAGTCAAACCTGTCTATAGCGACCGCCCAAGGGAAACACAAAAACTGGCCTTTGAAGACAGGTGGTCTTTGTAGATAGGTTCCTTAAGTACATGTTTCAATGAGAAACCATTTTCAAGGGAAACAAAAACTGTGGTCCTTGTAGACAGGTGTCACTAAAGCAGGCTTGACTGAAATATGCATTTAACAACTAAATTATTCATTTCCTTACCAAGGTTGGGAATTATTTTAAGTATAAGGAATATTGATTTGTCTAAATGTGACATATTATAGCTAACATCTAAAGGCATTCAACACAGGCCATAATTCAATCAGTCCACCTTTCATTCTTCAGTTACGAAAAAACTAAAAAAAACATAAAACTTACAAGGGGTATGAATAATTTAGCTGTTACCTGTACTAGGAGTTCAGAGAAATGATTGAGTTTGTTTCGTAGAATCCAAAGTTTGATTACGATTTCATGAACCCCTTGATATAGGAGAGTAAAGATCATTGTTCATGTTTAATTGAACTCCTATAAAAGTTCTGCAATTCAAGTTTGAGCTTTGATATCCCTCCTATTACTATATTATTATACTTGATATTGGTATCATTGAACAGACTGTTTATTTCCCTTTACAATGATGCCCCATTTGTAATAATTATGTAATCATGGACTGTGCAGTACACCTGAATGTGGACCCAAGTATCTCCTCTTTTACTCTTTCCCTGTATACAGCTGCAAACAGAACTAACCCAGAGAACCACAATGCTCAAGGATGTCCAGAATAAACTTTTGAAATTCCAGAGAGAGGCAGATAAAGCAAAACATCATGCAAGAATGGTATGTCCATAGATCTTTAGAGAAATATAGTGAAACCAGTGTATCAAGGGTTCCGTGACACAAAGACTCAACTCTATATTTTGCCAAAATGAGTATTTGATATCAAAATGTTAAGAGAAATGTGGGCTTTCCAGGAAATACAAAGACTAAACTCCACCCAACACCACATTGAAGTCAATGGCTAGTGAAACATAGACTTAACCCTTAAGGCCCAAGTGCTCAGTGACACATAAACCACTTTTTCTCAAAATAGCCAAAATAGAGTTACGTCTTTGTGTCACTGACCCCTCGATATAAAGACCAGTCAAAGAGACCAGAGGAGTGGTATTTAGAGATGGATAGTCTTTCTATACAGGAGATTGCAAGTCTGATGTTATGTGGTAGAGTCAGAAAGGCATCGTGTCATATTATAGAGATGTATTATAATTGCTTTTCAGGATTTCTAGCAAACAAAAGTTATTAGATATTGACTTATCACACTCATACAAAGTCTATTTGCCGATTATTTTCATATCTTGTTATTGGTGATCTATTTAATCTTGAGAGGATTTATTAGGTGAACAGAGGCCATATTTTCTTTCATCTTCTTCAAAATACACTGACTTTTACTTTAATATGAAGTGATGAGAAAGCGTAGGATCTTTTAACATTTTTTAAATTTACAAACACATTAAAAAAATGGACCACTCACAACCTCAATAAAATCTGCAAGATTTAGGGGGTTCAACCTGAGAATTTCAGGTTTTCAGTAAGGCATACATCTTCCTCATGATATACATGTATAATATAATCTATGTATTTAAAATAATACGAAGAAGCATTTGATATATTTTGCTCTAACCCTATAATGTTTGATAACACATGCATGTTGATAAATATCCTGCCCTTTAAATATCCAGTATGAAGTTTCATGGGAGAGAATTCTGTTGAACTCCCTGCTCCATGACCTGCATACAAAGAGTTACGATCAATCCAAATCAATCGTACATTAAGTCCTCCAATCAATCGCAAGTTTGCAGTCTCCTATCTCTTATGTACATAGTTACGATTAATATTAATCGCAAATAAGTTACGTTTGATATCAATCGCAAATAAGTTATGATTGATATCAACTCTTTGTAAGATGGGGCCCTGCATGCAAAGGAAACTCCAATCCGTCTTATTAAGAATATTCTTTCCTGTTTCCATTTCTGAGAGCAGGCAACCTTCAAGAACTTCCATTTGGAGTATGAACTGAGAGAGATGCACAACAGGATGAACCTTCAGCGACGTCAAACCCGCAACCTTCAGAGGTCCGTCAAGAAACATGAGGAATGGTTGTGTGAACACGACATCAGCTATACCTTCGATCCTAGGAAAGTGGAGGAGCTTCAGCGTGAACTGGAAAAGATTGACGTAAGTCGGTCATTAGTCGTATGAAACATCAATTAGTCATATGAAACATCGATTAGTTGTATGGAACGTCAATTAGTTGTATGAGACATCAATTAGTTGTATGAAACATCAATTAGTTGTATGAAACGTCAAGTAGTTGTATGAAACGTTGATTGGTTGTATGAAACGTCGATTAGTTGTATGAAACGTCGATTAGTCGTATGAAACATCAATTAGTTGTATGAAAGGTCAATTAGTTGTATGAGATGTCAATTAGTTGTATGAGACATCAATTAGTTGTATGAAACGTCAAGTAGTTGTATGAAACGTTGATCCACACAGTATTTTCCTGTGATAGTTTTGTTGTCTGGGAAGAGCTCCAATGTGGACTGGAAAAGATTGACTTCACGTAAGTCACAAGTTCCAGGGATTCAGTTAAGGCCAGCAGTCCCAAGTCATGAGGCATACATCTTTTGGTTAGGTAATCTGCAGGTTATATCATTTTATTCTGAGCTTCAGAAATGTCAAATTTTGTGCACTGGCTATTGGGCAATTCTACGGTAACGGAAGGACACTCAGACAAGATTTTTGAACTTCAGGTTCATACTAAAAGAACTGTTTTATTAGTATAAGATGTGAAACAGTACAGATATAATACCTATATAAGTGCCTTTAATTCTCCCCAAAAAAATTGTCATTATAGTTAAGTAGTTTAAGAATGTGCATATTAATTATCTCGGTAACGGAAGGACATAAAAATGGACATGGTTTTTCCAGTTAATTAGTGTTTATCCAAACTTTGTGAAGTTGATGAAGCTTTCCACTTGACTGAAACACATTTTGTTCCCCATAGTTTAATACATACTAATAAAACATTTCTTTTAGTATGAACCTGAAGTTCAAAAATCTTGTCTGAGTGTCCTTCCGTTACCGTGGAATTGCCCTATTGGTTATATTTTGCAAGTCTCTTTTTGTGATACAATGTGTATTTTACCTTCTTCTCTTGCCTATCAGGACTACCGACGGTCAGTTGCAATCAGCGATGAAGTGTGTGAGATATCCGAAAGAGTCCAGAGCCAACTGGCCAAAGCAAGAGACACAAATCAGAGTCTGAACTTGAAAGTCCAGAAAATACAAGAAAGAAATGATGGGGTAAGTCTCAGGTATCGGAGGCTAATCTGGCCCGGCCATGCAGGGGCTAACTGGGACTTAATTGTCCAAATGGCAAAGTCGTCTTGGCCAGAATAACTAATCTGCAAGCACAGACCCTAATTTGTCACTTTATCAACAAATCGTTGTGCCTTGAGAGAAGCCTAGCCCAGCTGCCTATTAGTTGTGTCAAGGAGCAGCTATAGTACATGGCCTATGGTAGGCTTATAGTGCAGACTCTCTTTTACGACTGACCACGGTTTGTGCTTGCAGAATACAGAATAACCTGCATCAATGGCTTGTATTAAATGCTGCAATTTGCTAGTATTTGTATGAATTTATTTATATTATTGATAGTATTTGTGAGAATTTTATATTGAGTGCGGGGACTTGCACACCTACTCTATAAAGTTTATCTCATAAGAGTGTCATACAAAACATGAATATATTTGTTTAAGCTGATGGAAGACCAGTGTACACTAAGCACTTCATTTCTAGAAAAATGCATGGTTCTAATCGTCTTCTCTCCCAAGTTGAGTTGTTGGTTCTGACTTATTAAAGCTAAAGAGTGCGATTGATACCTGAACAAGGACACTAAACATGGCAGTTTCTTTTTGTGTGCTTATAAAGCTGCAGAAAGAAAGGGGGTAGATAATTGGACACAGGAGAAAGCATCTCTGTTGTATTTATCTTGCTTAGTAATCTGAAAGGTGACATTGATATGTTAAAGAAAAAGAGGCCACTATGTAGAGATGTCAATTTTCTTGTCGTCATTTCTAAATAAGATGATATTAATCTGTTATATTAAAGAGACATCAAATGTGACATTCTGTTCTTATTTCATCCTAATAAAGCTGAAAGGAGAGATTGATCTGCTGAAGAAGGAACGAAAAATGATGAAAGATACGATGAGGATGAATCGGCTTCATCTGGAGATGTCTCAGCAAGAGCTTGAGATCGTTAGCCGAGAGAGAGCAAAGGTAAGTTCTTCTTCTTCTTCTTTTTCTGATTAAGTCTGCTTCCTTCAAATTGACTGAAGATTCTTGCAAACTATGTGCGTTAAGTGCGTGAACCGCAATTTACTGTACATCCATTCGAGTGCTATTTACATTATAATACAGTTTATATACAAATATTTACAAGCTCATGTATAGGATGGAGGAAGACTAGCCACTGTCACCGACCGACTGCAGATGATTACAGATGGTGCTTCAACAATTTCTGAGGGCAGATAATTCCAATTCCTTACTGTTCTCGAAAAGAATGAATGCCGATGCGAATCAGTTCTCGAGTATGGCATCTGATAGGAATGTGGTTGGGTAGCTCTCGTCGACTGGGTGACTTGTGGACTGATATAGGCCTGAGTTCAAGATCTTAATTGTGTTTTTTTTTAAGAAAGATTCCAAATTGTTTTCTTGACATTGTTAATCTGCATTGTACCATGATCAAGCGGGTAAGAGCAGCATAGATTATGACGTCCAGTTTTTATTGAAGTGTTAAATAAATACTGATGTTGAACTTGTCTTGAAGCCACATAATCAATTTTGAATGGAGCTTGAGTGGTTGCTACTATACAACACTTACTGTAAATACTCCTTTTTATGCCTCCGCCACCGAAGGTGGTGCCGGAGGCATCATGTTTTCGGGTTGTCCGTCCGTACGTCCGTCCGTCCGTCCGTACGTCCGTCCGTCCGTCCGTCCGTACGTCCGTCCCGTTTGACCGTTATCACAATATCTCAAGAACCATTTAAGATTTAAACTTAAGACTCGGGAATAGTATTTATCACCATAGGAAGACGATCTGATTAGATTTTGGAGTACGTAGGTCAAAGGTCACAGGTCACAGAGGTCAACTTATGAAATTCCTTGTATTGAGTTTGTTAGCGCGATATCTCAAGAACCATTTGAGATTTAAACTTCAAACTTAAGGATAGTATGTATCACCATAGGAAGACGATCTGATTAGATTTTGGAGCACGTATGTCAAAGGTCAAGGGTCACAGAGGTCAACTTATGAAATTCCATACATTGAGATTGTTATCATGATATCTCAAGAACCACTGGAGATTTAAACTTCAAACTTAGTGATAGTGTGTATCACTATAGGAAAACAATCTGATTAGATTTTGGAGCACGTAGGTCAAAGGTCAAGGGTCACAGAGGTCAACTTATGAAATTCCATACATTGAGATTGTTATCATGATATCTCAAGAACCACTGGAGATGTAAAAACTTCAAACTTAATGATAGTGTGTATCACCATAGGAAGACAATCTGATTAGATTTTGGAGCACGTAGGTCAAAGGTCAAAGGCCACAGCGCACATTATGAATGCAAAAACAGCTTGTGATCGCATTATCTCAAGAACCGATTGATGGATTCATGCCAAAATTAGGTCATGTTTGTTACTTGCAGAGCCAATGAACTGAGTAGATTCTTGGTTCATAAGGTCAAAGGTCAAAGGTCATGGGCCCATTATGTATGCAAAAATAGCTTGTGAACGCATTCTCATTAGAACTGACAGATGGATTACTATTTAACTCAGAACATCTTGCAGAGCCAATGAACTGAGTAGATTTTATGGTCATGAGGTCAAAGATCAAAGGGTCATATATGTATATGAGAAATTGCTTGTAATCACAATATTCTGAGAACCTGTCAATGGATTACCATTGACTTGAATTCAATTTTTTTTTTCTGTTTTGGTTTGTAAAATTGCTCTATAACGGAGGCATCATTTTCGACTGCGCGCAGTCGAATTCCATCTAGTTTTTTCTTCACCCTATGCAAGTTACGTTCAGATAGTACCTTTAAACTATATATGTTGCTTCTGTCTCCCTACAACAACACTATGAATATGTAGATAACTGATACATTCTAAATGTATTTAATATCATGTTTTTATGATTATCATTTTAATTCTTGCAGCTGAATCAAGCATACGAGGAGGTGTTGAAAGACATGTCCCAATCCTTCCTGACCACCACGTCTCTACAAGACAGGCTCAACAGCCTTCGACTGGACTATGCTGACCTGTCAGAGAGGATAATGGTCAGTTATCTTTAAAATCTCATTTTAAATCATTTAATGCCCCACTGTACTACTTGTAGCTACTTGCTCCCTCTTTATAGAAAACAATGCCCGTTGGTCCCCCATGATCCTCTTTTTCTAATGTTAATTGAGAGCTGGGTTGATGAGGTAGCCACCTTTCAGTGACCACACTGGGTGGTCTATTCCTCCTGGCAAAACTAGTACAGACGGGCTATAAGAGACAAATCACTTGAATCATCTTAATGCACTAAGTCTTTTGTATGTTTAAATCAAGTTGAATTCAATTGAAGTTGGAAACAGTCAAGAATAGGCATATATTGTGGGGTCACATGATTTGAGTTGACCAGGACACTTTGAAGTGGAACAAAATAATATCTCAAAGTATTGAAAACATGAAGATAATCCTTTTTTTTTTGGTCACAGAATGCTGATGATGGGTCAGTAGATACCTCAGGAATATATGTAAGTATAAAAATCCACAACAAAGAAACAACTTCATGTACAAGGTAAAAGTAAATCTACTGGAAATCAGTTTAGAACATTTCCAAGCAATCTGCACCTAAAATACTGTGAATATATTCATGTATATATATATAAATTTTGAATTGCCTTATGGCATCTTGCCCGTTGTCTCTGGAACAAGCAGAGAAATGAGTTTGTAGTGTACTTTTTAAAAGTCTATCGGTTACTATGGGAGCAAGCTATAGGGGTAACCTGTTGACTGCCGAGTTCATTCATCACCATAGGGTTAATACAGGGGCCACCCAGGTCCAATAGACATTGTGTTAATATTAGTGGTATTGTTCACAAAACATTTTTAAAATGGTAAAGGAATCAACCCCTCTCATGAAGTGTATCCTTTGCCATTCTTGAGACAGTTTTTATTGCATGCTTGAGTGCCTTATCATGATAGCTTCGCTAATGTCAGGGTAATAATATGATTATAGGGCCCTCAGGGAGAACAGTATTAATACTGATGAGGCTACCCTGGGTTTAATAGCAAGACATACTAATATTCTTAATAATAATAATAATAGTAGTAAACATTTATAATGCGCCATGTCTGTCAAAAATGACACTCCTATTATTTTATCTGATGCTGAAATACAATGATTACCTTCTGTTTTGTAGCCTCATGGTGATGCAGATGATGACCTGGTTGATGATGATGGTACTGCAGCTGATGCGGAAGATGATTCCGAGAGTGGATGGGATGATGCTTATCAAATAGGAGAGTCGATTGTCCCAATGCCGAGGGAGAGACTGAAGCGATTGGAGTCGACTCACAGCAATCCAGGGCTCGGCAAGAGTGAGCAGTTGAAAGCGTTGTCAGAGTCCTTCGATAAGGGCGAGTTGTCTTACTCTCCTCCCTGCACCATGACGAGCAGTTCCTCAACGACCACGACAGGAGATGAGGCTGCCATCGCCTCTCTGGACATTGGTAGGATCTCTGGATTCCCCAACTATAGTTTCCGAGGTAGCAGCGATGAGGGTGATGACGGCGATTATGAAGATATACCGCACAGGTAATTCCACATCTTGTTCATCTCTTCCCCGTCCCTCGGATAGGATGTTAAATGGAGGCCCCGTGTAGAGAAAGTCACTACCTTTGCACTTTAAGAACCCACTGCACTTTTCGTATAAGAGTAGGGGGAAACCCCGGTGTAGTGGTCCATCTGCACACACCCCAGTATAGTATTATAATACTCTGTAAAGAGGTATGTACTCAAAATGGAAGAAAGAAAGAAGAAATGACCCCCCCCCCCCCCACAATAATATATAGTTCAGTCATTGACACTCTCATTTCCACCAGTTAACTAGCAGCTTATTACAAATTATTCATGAGCTACATGTAAGTTTTTTAACCACACTTCTTGTTACATTGTTCTTTGTCATTCAGTGGTCAATGGTATAAAAAATTAGCCTTTACAAGCTTTATTTTAAAAAGAGAGACAATCTTTTCATAGTCCAATCTAGTTGTACACTATGTGTACATGTGTGTTTGAATTTAGGCAGTTACCGGTAAACTTGTTTGTGGCATTGAAGAGGTTAAATTTTCAAGGTGATCCAACTTTTATGGTTTTTTCACTCACAGGTCAGAAGATGACTTTGGAATGATGGATCCTCAGCCGATATCAGGTTTGTATATTTCTTTCTCTTCATTAAGGGTCTGGGAGAATTTCAGTTTGCTTTCCAGCTACATGATTGTATTACATGTTGTCTTCAATGTATGCAAGTAAACATTCCTGACAAAAAATGACCATCCTTGTCATGTGTAGCAACAAATTTCTATTGGCATTTTAATTCAATTTCCTTTTACAACAGAAGAGAGCTTTAAAATATATTACACAGGATCATGTGGGGGTGTTTTGGGGGTTAAACACCCCCCTTTATGTTTCTGTCCTAAAAAAAACGAAGTATGTAGGGAAACGAAAGGGCCAAAGTAAGAAAAGAAAAAGAGAGAAAGAAGTTTCCAGAATTCCTGCTGAACTCTTGAAATTATGATTTTACTCAGGAAACTCAAATCTTTGTGTTTTCTCCAAGTTATCTTATGCAGCTTGTATTATATTCATTACTATATCCATACACTTGATATTTTGTTCAACGGTGCCTTGCTGTCGCAGAAAGTGGAATCATCTAGTGAGTGTTGGAAGCGGTGCAAATATAACCGCTGCTACACAATAAGCGGTGTATAAGCTTAGTGAGTGTGGGCATGTAAATGTTAGTGATGGTGGCCAGGCAAATGGCGCTGGCGATCGAGAGGGTGCAAGCACATCATTCAATGCTGAAATTTTCACGCTCCAGATTGATGAGGTGACAATATTTGTGCATGTTGATAAATGCCCGAAATTCATGAAAATAAAACTCTGAAGAAAATAACAGCTTATTTACAGTATTCTTTTTTTTTTTCTTCATCTTTTCAGTGCGCTCCAGGCCAGGGACTCGCCATCATCTTGGTCATGATCGTCGTCGATCTCGATCTCTGAGTCGTCTAGAAGACTATGAGAACTTGGAGTTCTTAAAAAACCCTGGCTGTTACAGGTATGCCCAACTAGGCGTTAAGGACTCCCCACAATGCAAAGCTCTTCCAAGGAAGAATACAGTCAAAGGTCAAAGGTTAAAGGACCATGTCGCATCTTGGATCCTTGCCTCTGACTCCAGAACGCCTGTTCCAAAACTAAGGGTTCCTCCCATGCAGGCCCCAGAGAAAGGCATGCAGGAATGCATACAACCTTCTGAGCAATGGTTAGGCCCACCGATGGAACCTGTCAAACCAGAAGAGTCGCGCAGTAAACGCATCAAAAGTGTCTCAGGGATTTTTGTTATAAACAGGGGATCATATCGATTAGGGGTCCATAGAAAAAAAGGCCAAAAGGTGTCTAAAAATAAAGAAAAGACAGGATAATGTCAGAAGATGTACGTACATGTAGCTCTCATTGTATAGAAAACCATAGTGCAATAAAAATGTACATATGAATGTTTTCAAATATTTGATATTATTTAAACATATTTGTGGCTTACACCCAGTAAGTAAGATCGATTGATCGATCTGTATTGAAAAACAAGTTAGAAAAAATCTTGGAACCAGCGGGACTTAAAGCTGCATCTACTGCTTGCTGGGCAGCGACTCCATCACCATTTGATATGATTGAAAATTCCTTTCCGGCTGTGAAATTGTGTCACGAATATGGCACATATTTTTTTAATGATGTTCTAAAATTTTGGAAGATCATTTTTTCAGCATTGCATTTGATAAGGAGGCTATTGGATTATTGTTGATAGATGATTTGTCCGGTTCTTATTTGCTAATTAATCTTGGTGACTAAGTCTACTTTTCCTCTTAAAAATCAGAAAAAGATTGCAGAAAATCCCTTTAACGTGTTAGAATCTGCTTGTAAGTGTCGGCTTGCATGGTGATGTAGATATACAGTAGGCTTGCGGGTGCAAGTTCTCCTTAGAACTATAAGCTAAGAAAGATAACAAACAGTCCTTTTTAGGACTACACACCCCAAAGAAAGATTACCGAGTCAAAGAGTCCTTTTAGTCCAGGCATAATTTGATTTTCCTCAACCCTCTCTCTCTCTCTCACATGGTGCACCTGCAAGCCTACTGTATGTGTTAGAATTTTTTTCAATGGCATCCTAAAGAAAAAAGGAATGTATTTGGATTTAAGGAATCTTTTATATTTGTTAACATCTCAGGAATGAATATTTATTCATGAAGAGTTTGCTTTTCAGAACTCTGCTCGAGTTCCATTTCTAAATCTTCCATTTGAACAATCACTTGGGAGAGAGGGATAGATAGACATGTGATTAGCTTGTAAAATGAACCCTATAAGAATACACCCTAGACCCTAACACACCCTTACACAAGATCCTATTAGTCCATTGCACCTTCAATCATAGACCCCTAACCTGATAATGTGATTTGTCATTCAAAGGGGTGACTAATCTTTCTTTTTTTAACTGAAAGAATTTTTTAAAAATCTGCTTAAATTTGAGGTGTCCCTAGGGCTTTATATTCACTGCTTGTAGGTGCAAACATTCTGTCTTTTTATTGTGGATAACCTTGCTATTTTTTCTTACAATATAAGCAAGGGCCAATGGGCAAAATCTCTGCCCATTTAAAATTGTCATTAAATGAAATAAGGCAGTGTAGTAGAAGAAAATGGCATTATCCAAATGGTCACCATCCCAGTGCAAGAATTATTTATGAAAAGGAAACTGAGGTCATAAGGGCATTTTGTTTTTCTGTTTTTGTTTGTTTGTTGTTGTTGTTGTTGATGTATTTTTGTTGTTGTTGTTGTTGTTGTTTTGTTTTGTTTTTTATTTGGGGGGGGGGGGGGTGGTTTATGGAGGGCTTTAATGCAATTGGGGAGGGGCTCGGTTTATATTCAAGCACGTGTATGTACATGTTAAGTAGCATTTTCATACCATTTCCAATTATTCCCTAAGAGGTTTGGATAGATTAACATCAAACTTATTTGGTATTATCAGAAAATTGTTTTCAATCACTGCTTTCTAAGCTCTTATTTTCTCAAAGGTGTGTAATCTGTAATCTGGTTCTTCAAGGCATTTCTATCTTTCACTGTATATATCACTCTGTCATCATTGTACATTGTGTGTTACTCTGTGAGTAGCATCATGTCATGTAATTATTTCCATTCTGTGATTCCTTGCACCATGTGACATGAATGAGAGACGTTATTAGATAAATGTTAGAGGGTTGGAGCGTCATGTCAGTCCCATCATTAATGTATGTGTGGCACTGTGAAAGGAAATGAAACAATACAGGGTAAAATACAAGGTGTAACTATCTATAATTTTTTTAAAAGTTGATTTTAGGATTTCAAGATTTTTACAAATTTATCAAGGAGGACACTATTCTGAATATGGAATAATGACACTGTGGTTAAAAGTTGACGAACATGTACTTCTTGAGCCGCACTTGATGTAGTTTCTCTTACTTTGTTTTCATTAACATTGAGGTTTTAACTGGAAAGCTGTCATGCTTATTAACAACAGGAGGTAATTATCTGCTTAAATTAGAAACGCTTCAAAATGTCACTTCAAAGAAAGTTTAATTTCCTGTGCTGATTGCTATTATTCATTTAAAAAGAAAAGAATATCCCTCTATTTTATAAATGTTTTATTCCGTATTCATGGTTCGTTTGGCCTTTCTTTGTATTTGTGTGTTTCGATGTCTTCATGTTTGTTATCTACTTGTAATCATTTCATGTTCTTTGGTCAAAAGCCTATAATATGAAACTAGAGATTTAGAAATGAAGAGAATTCAAAGCTCAAGAATTCATCTTGCTTCAGATGAGGTCACTATTAATTTAAATATCCTACAAAGAAACTTAAACCAGCAAGTGATCCTTCACTTACATTGTAATTTCTGATAACTCTCCTATTTCTTTTTCTAAATTTTCCAGGCAGAAAAAATATTTCTTTAAACTAATTATTTCACGTTGCATGAGCTTTATCTTATGTCATTTCTTATTTGCAAGTAATGTCAGCCTTTTGTGTAGGACATCGATTCTTATATTACTCTTGTAAATGTCAAACCATGCATAGCTATGAATGCCCTTTGCCTGGAAGAAAAGAATCTCCAAACTTTCAAGGAAAAGAATTTGAACAATTAAATACAGTAAACTTTTTGTGTTGCCGAACAATCCTTAAGCGGAATACTGTGCACAAATGTCTATTTTGACATCTTAATATAGATTGATGGTGTATTCATACTAATTCATCTTTTAGTCTTTGAAAAGGTTGTTTCAAATTCAAGCTGTGGTGTCACTTTTGGGCTGTGACACATACATTGGGGGGGGGGGGGGGGGGGTTCTGAAGGTTTGAACATAATTTGAGGAAAAAAAATCACTTTCATGAGTAGATTTACAAATGGCTGGCATTATCTTCAAGATTAATGAGACAAATTTCCATTTTTCTTGTTCTTACAAGATAACAGATAAACATTGAAAATATGTGATTTGTTGCTTGTCATCCTTATTTCTGCATGATTGATTCTTAAAAGGTGTATATTCTCAAGGTTGCCTATTGTTTGGTATGTCTTACTTCCTGCTCACTGTCTAATAAATCAAATCTTGTTTTCTAACATAATTTCTTTCTGTCTTTCTGTGGTATGTTGCTCTTTCATCATATCTTCTTTGTCCACAGGTGTTTAATAACATTCTGAGAAGAAATGAATTGTGTTTGGTTCAATGATAGTGATTTTGAAACCTAGAAATTTATACCCAATGCTTGAGCAGAAAGACTAACATTCTACACAAAATGTGTCACACAATAAACAGTGTATTTTTTCACTATATGAATTGATATCACATGGCAATGCATTGTTTGACACCAGGGCCCCGTATTACAAAGAGTTAATATTAATTGCAACTATGTACATGAGAGATTTAGAATGCTTCTAAATCTCTCTTTTTGTACACATTTTTGGTAATGTTACAACACTAGCTTTGTATCTTCCATATTCAATTTTGTTTAATTTTTTTTTTTAAAACGAGATACCAAAAAAAGAGTAAAACACATGTGCTGCCAATTTGAAGAAGTAAGGATTTCTGGCCGTTTAAAAATCCCTGTCTTGAATGGGTTAATGATGTACAAATATTTAAGAGGAGGGGCAAATAGCTCAGTTGGTAGAGCAGTGGTCTTGTAATCCGGCGGCCCGGGTTTGAAACCAAGGCGATGCACTAGTGCCCTTTGGTAAGGCATTAATCCTCATTACCAGGTCCCTCAGAGAGGACCTAAAGCCGTCGGCCTTCTGGTTGCTTACTTACAAGCATTTATGCTTTCTTAGCAGTCAGGTAAAATAACCACCACCTTGCCTTGCCTTGCTTGCAGATAATAATACAAATTCATAACCGATCAGGGTAAAGGTTCTTTATAACGGTTTACTAATATGTGTCAAGGATTTTGAGGGAGATACATGTATCTAACAAAATCATGCAAAAATGAAATATATATAAATAATTTCACCACAAATGTATTTGTGCCCTTGCCTTTCAGCTATTATAACAACAGGCTTGTAACAAAGCGAAATTTTGCAATCCTGCTTTAACACATCTTCTAACAGTAAGTGGTGGTAACTTTGCTTCTAACTTTCCAACATGTCATTCCCACATTTTAGTAATCCTGTATCGCGATCATGAGTAGACTTCCAAAGCTTTTTCCTTTATGTACAGTATATTTGTAATCGGTGATTGCTTTATCGTGTGTTTCAGTTTTTTGTGAAGAGCTTCCATCGCAAAATTGTGAATGTGTTGGTGGTCACTGTTGTAGCAGATGTTTTGGCCGCGGCATGATTCAAGTAATTTAGAAAAAATACACACCCAGAGAAAACTTCAGCATGATACTTTTTGGGGGGTATGTTGGCATAATTCCTAAACTTCCCCATAGCATCACAGTGTTACTAAATCATTTTTTTTAATGATAGTGTACAAAATGGATCTTTTGATCAACTTGGATCATGTACATGCATTGCTTGGATTGGAGGGGGGGGGGGGGGTATGACAATGCAGGGGGATCCCATTATTTGCAAAAATGTGAATTGCTTTCATTTTTTATGTTTTTATTCTGCAGTAAAAATGGTTTGATTAGATTTGATTGGTCAAGCTCAGTTATACACAGAATCAAAATAGAGTGATACAATTAAAGGACAAGGCGAAAAATGATTTAAAATATAAGAAAATTAATATTAACTTGATATAATGGCCCATGAAAGCTTGAGAGCTTATTGACAACAAGGTCCTGTTTAGAGAATTAGTATTGAACATGTTGAATATTTGCATTATTTACAGATGTAGGATATTTACAGCGTTGTTTCATAACATTGAGGATATCTTTTGAAACGGACATTCTTAAGAATAATCTATGGCAGAGAAAAGAAAACTGAGGAAATGAGTTTTTGCTGGGTGTGTGTGCGAGAGAGAGAGAGGGAGAAAGAGAGATGACAATAGAGAAGAATGCAGAATAAGCGGTTGATTTATTCTTTGAATTTTGTACACGCATGCATAGGATTTGTAGGGTTTTTTTTTCCAGATGATCGAATTGCCAAGCTCTCTTATCAATTTTTGTCAGTATGTCTACCAAGTGGGGAAATGAATCTTCAGTGTTGTAAGTTTTATATCCCCTCCCATGCATTGTGTTAAAGCATGGTGGTAGATTTTTTTTATTTGAGTTTGAATCTAGAAGTGAACTTAAAGATTTGTGTTCACTTATTAATTTTTCTCTCAAAGTTTCATGTGATATGATTTACTCTCCCCCTCTATCTTCTGTGTGTGTGTGTGTGCGTGCGTTGGTAAACGCCATCAACCGCGGACCACTCCATAGAAAAATACCGCAAACCGCGGACGTACCTGCAATGGGGGACCGTCCACGGTTGCGATCCTGGTTTTCGCCGTATAAAATTTACGACGTAGGGGGCGTTTGAATATTAGATGTCACAGCGTATAGCCAACATCGAGTGGATCAGTTGTATGTGTATCGCCAAATGTCACAGCGCCCCCTTCGATGACTGCGCGGGAAAGGCGCGCTACCTGCTATCATCCCATAGCAGGTACGTCCGCGGTTTAATGTAGTTTTCTATGGAGTGGTCCGCGGTTGAAAGCAATTACCCATGCACACACACACAAGTACTAAACTTCGTCCACGTTTGACGCCATAAACGTGTAGTGGTGTGTGTGTGTGTGTGTGTCTGTCTGTCTCTCTCTCTCTCTCTCTCTCTCTCTCTTCTTTCTCTCTTTCTCTCTTCTTTCTCTCTTTCTCTCTTCTTTCTCTCTTTCTCTCTTCTTTCTCTCTTTCTCTCTTCTTTCTCTATTTCTCTCTCATTTTCTCCCTCTTTCTCTTGTCCTCCCTTTCTCCTCTCTTTGTCTCACTTTGTCTCATTATGCGTCCCTCTCTCTCTCTTTTATCTCTCCCAACTCCTCTCTCACTCTGAATTTCTATCTATCTCTCTCCTTTTTTCTTCATCCCTCCTCCCCCTGCGAGACTATATATCTCTCTTATTTGTACATGTATCAGATTGCTTCCATTCATTGCATGTCTTTCCACATTCTTTTCTCTTCCTCTAACATAGTTACCTGTACATGTATATTTCCCCACCATCAACAAATGTTCAACTTGTACATTGACCTATAGAGCAATGACCTCTTTTGTTATGCATGAGAAAATTTGTTGTGCCTCATCCATTTAGAAGAAAAAAATGAGACAATTAAATGATAAGAAAGTTATGACTGTTTGGAAAATGTGATCAGTAAATGTATTTGAATCTCAATTAGTTGTTAGAATATGAAAGCAGTAAAAAAAAAAAAAAAAAAGGTCTCACGTCGTTTGAGCAAATGATCTGGTCTCATCCCATTAGATATCAGCACTTTAGTGACATGAGAGGAAGCCGTGAGGAAATTAGGCCAACTCATTTTTTACACTGCACAGAAAACATTTTCATCTTTTCCATGCCTGTCGTTTACTTTCCAAAATGGTGCAATATTTATCACCTTTAGTTGTAGTTGCTGTTGTGTATTTAAAAAAAGTGGTGTTTTCTTTATTTGAACGATGTTTTTTTTTTTTCCACTGCATGTGTAGATGCATTTCACCCATTCTTTCTGTAGCTAGAAACATACATTGTTTTGAATTTTGTAGAAAGCTAAGAACACAAAGCTATTAAACTACATAGAGTTTTATGTCTGCTGGTTATTTCTTTTGAAAATACTAGCTAATATCCAATCATCCGTTTACATGTGCATCTATGTGTTGAACATCATCATGTGCTTGAACATTTTGCCTAGTTAGAATGGAAGTGAAAATATCACATCCCAATTTTGCATGATTTTACCTTTATTCATATTTATTATTTCGTCCTTGTTTTCACGAAGTGACGGTAGTGAGGAAAATCGTAACGCAAAGTGAATGCAATTTTTTTCACTACCGTCACTTCGTGAAAACAGCGACGATTTATACCAGGTAAAAAAAAACATTTGCACAACTCCCAGGGAGTGGAGATTGGGCACATAGTGTGTGCGGGCAAGCACTGAATCCAATGACTAGGGTAATAGTATATCTGTAAAGCGCTTAGAGACATTGTATTAAGCGCTATATAAGTTGAATATTATTATAATTATTATTATATGCTACAAATTACTGTACTCGTAAGGAAATAGGACAACTTCAGTTTGTTGGGCACATTATTTATGAGAAGAGAGGGCACAGAAAACAGTATACTGACAGGAAAATTTGAGGGATTGAGGGAGACGGTGAATCAAATACATGGATAAGTTCATTAGGCTGACTAGTACCGGCAGAAGCAACGTCCCATTACAAAGAACCAGAGATAAAAGTTGATGGAAAGCCTTGATTGCCAATGTCTGGAACAGGCACCTAGCAAGCAAACAAGCAAGGCAATTCAAGCAAGCAACTGTTCTCATTATTTATTCTCTCTCTCTCTTTTTCTCTCTCACTCTCCTCATTTTTAGCTTCTTGAACAAGACAAACTCGTGGAGGGATCGAGTTCACAACCTCTTCAATCGCTGAAGGAATGGAACCCACTAGGAGGCATTCACACACTGCTTCTCATTTAACTCATGTGGAGGAAAACAAGTGGTCAGCTTGAGGGAGGCCAGGACTGCTGCATCTTGCTGTCATGTGCCTCCGATCTTTTACATAATATTTTAAGTGTTTAGAGAAATTTGAAAGGCATAATGAAGTTAAAAGGTCTAGTATATATCAAGATATGAAGCTTTATACATGCAGAAGTCTGCTGATAGATACTTCCGAACAAGGGATACCATACCTTGTAACTTTGTCTTTTGGGGACGACAGTTTTCCACCCCTTTTCTTTTTCACATTCTTTTCCATCACTCTTTGTCTTTCTATTCATATTTATTGCTTTGGAAACGAGATTAAAGTAGAGGCAACCAGTCAACTATTTGTATCAAAGTTCTTTCTTGTGTATGTGTAATTCAAGGATTAATTTCATATTGTATTGCAGAGTGAGCTTTCAAAGCAGAACTACTCTTTCTTTCATATTACATTTTCAAATTTTATTTTGATATTTACTTAACCATATGTAACTCTTTTCACTTCAATAGAGAAAAGTACATGTAGTCGATCATTGTAAATTGATGCAGATATTACATATTATATATTGGTAATGGCTCAGTTGTTAGATCTAGAGCAGTGATGTTGGATTTGAACTTGTACGGGATGGTGAACCAAGCAAATTTGTAAAGCTAGTGCTGCATGCACCCTGTGCCTTTTAGGTAGTATCATTATCCATGTCTTTCAACATACAGTTTACAACTTGGAATATATGTTTTCTTTTAAATGTGAATGGATTTGTATCTTCTCAGGATGACCTTTAATGTATGTAGGCAGTGAACCTGAATCTATTTTTGTTGATTTTGTAACATTCGGTTGAGTCTTACATGATTAGTTCTATTGAATGGAAGAATAGCTCTGAATTATGACATGATGAAGCTATTCTTCATTTGATTTGACAGGAATATAGGAATAATGTGTGGTATTGACCTATCTTTTGACTTACATTAATATCAATGTTGATGTTAAAGTATTGTGTTCATCAGTCTTTCAATTGTTATTGTACAATGTACTTTTCTCTGTGGATCAAAAACATGTAGTGATTACTTTTTTGCTCTATAATTGGTGAAAGGATAACAGTAATACATGTACTATATCAGATTTGTAAGGTACTGCAACATCCAATTGAAGTCAAATGCTAAGTGTGCACTGGTGCACAAGATGAAATCACTGACCTCATGCATTAATTTGCACAAATGAACAACACGAGTAGAATATATAAATGATAATGATAATAGTTGCAATGTATATAGCACCATTTAATGGTGTATACTGCATTTTTTTCAGATTCATGCAATAACTTTGTAATAGTGGAATGAGAAGTACTATATCATAGTAAATATGCTATCACATGTTATCTTATTTTACCATTTTATATATTATATAGATATAGCTCATGCATGCATCATTCAATTTTGTATCATGTATATTAAATTTCTTAAAGCAAATATTTTATTTGATACTTTTTATGCTGTACTTAGAGGTGTCAGCATATTGTTGGCCTTTATTTCTTCAAAATAGTTGCCCCTAAAACTTGTCATGGGGCTTTCTCAGTCAGACCAAAGGCTGTTCACCATTGCGTATTCTTGGCATTGTGTTCAATTATCTAGCTCACTTTTCTATCTGCATGTATATACTACTGTAAGTTGTACGGAGATGTACGTAAAAAGCATCAAACTAGACTAGTTTGATTTGACATTTTCTCACATGTGAATACCCAGTTAGCTCGGCAAATACTCTTTAACTCCCAACCATCATTCACGTACATAATGCACCTAAACAGTCCAGCAGCAGTCCGACAAAGATTGGAGAAGTGCCGCACGTTAAAGTTGTATATAAACATACACAAACATTTCTGTAATTGTGTTGAAAGAATTTTTTTAAAATGTTTATTGATTCTGGTATGATTATCTTCCTTCTGGTAAGGATTGATAATCTTTTTTTACCAATTATATTTGCTTATATATCGCCTAACACTTACTTTATCAGAAGTCTCTAAGCGCTCTACAATAATGCAGCATAATTACCCTGGCTTTAGCATTGCAGCTGTTACGCGCGCTGCGTTTCAAGGAATAAATTCCTACCAGGTACCCATTTACTTCACCTGGGTGGAGTGTGGCAAATGTAGATCAATGTAGACCAATAATATAATACAATAGTAATTTCTTTAAATAATCGTTAAGACTTTCATGAAATCAACCCAAAGCATTTTCAGTAGCCTTGCTGTGCATCACTTATTGTTGATATGAAAAATATTAAAATCTACGAACATTGCAAGGATATAGTGTGTATCAAAATCTAAACACGATTTGTATCTGAACAGTACTATGGGGCCCACAATATTTTTCCTTAAAAGACTCCGTTATCATTTTATGAAGTATCAAGTGTTTATTCGACTACCGGTAATCTAAAAAAAATATTTATACTTAGGTAGCTGCACATTGGAATGTGGAGTACATGTATATCTGATGTTTTTGTATAAAAAAGGTGCTGGGTTTTAATACAAGCTTTATGTTTTATGAACATAACTTTTCTAATACAAAATAAAACATTTTATATAGAATGTTTTAAATGAAAGTATTCCTATTTCTCGCACTCTGTCTACATATAAGTTTGTGTTTCTGTGTGTGTGTGACACTGTGCAGTCATGTGTGATTGGATGTCACTATATTTAGGCCTCTGTGATTGTGTTTGTTTTCAACTTTTGACAAGACTGATGAAGAATGCTGATGGTTTATCGATGATGGTGACTACAGCAAATATAAAAGATGGAAGAAAGACTATTTAATACTGATTATGTAACATTCACTTCTACAATTTATTTATACACACACACATACAATATCAAATGATGATCGTGCATATACAAATGTTTAAGGCATACATTTGCCAAACTTGTCAATTTGAAGAGTACGTAATTCAATCATTGCATATATGGCACAAAATGTTATAGCTTTGTGATGTCTGAATGACATTTTTCTTTTTACACAAATGAAAACTCAGGAAGATAAATATATAGAGTTTGAGCTGTTGAACACACTTCAAATTACTTGCTAACATTCTGAAGTCATATATACCCGGTAGGATGCGAAAGCCAATGTGCTTAGCAATTTTAGCCTAGTAGCTCTTGCTGGAATGCTCCCCGGGGAGTGGAGAAAGTGCATACATTGTTTGCGGGCAAGCCAGAATCCGATGACCAGGGGTATTAACTGTAAAGCGTTCAGAAACTTGGACTTGCAGATGTATTAAGCGCTATATAAGCATAAATATTATTACATATCTCCACATCAAAACAATAAGATTATTTGTACCCTGTGAAAAAAGTTAATATTCAAAGTTAGAGAATGGAAAAAGTCATAAGCACAGCAAGAACTTTCTTAGATCTTCATTGCTACATGAAAATCATTCAGAATTCAGAATATTTTATCACTTAAGCATCGATCTGATAGTGCTCCCACAGCAGGACATACAAATTAAATGTATATTGACTGAAAATAAGAGTAATAATACATTTCCCATGTCAAGATAATCTCTTTTTGTCATGAAATGTTCTTAAACTTTAAACCAGCTCAGAGAGAATAACCAAATAACCATGACACCAGTGCCCCAACTTCCTCATCAAATTGCCTCGTGACAAGGTTTTCTTATATGCTAGATATAAACAAATGGAATGCAGTACAATTTATAGAATTGCTCTAAGTATAAATATATAGCAAGTATAACTTGCAAGGCACTATAGATATGAAAAATAAAATTGCCCCTTTTTCTTATTTCAAATAGCAACGAAACTAGAGACAATCCAAATTCAAGGCCAGGGAGACAGATCCATCTCTGGGATGGATGGGTAGGATTCAGTGGCAAATATCGTCGCTGTTTTCACGAAGTGACGGTAGTGAAAAAAAATTGCATTCACTTTGCATTACGATTTTTTTTTATACTACCGTCACTTCGTGAAAACAAGGACGATATATGTCTAATAGAACAGACACAGAATCCTGTTAGGTTTAACAGAAATCATTAGGAGGGTCAAGAGCAACTGCCCTTAACCCCCATCCTCCACCAACCACCACCACTACCACCTAGTATTTGCAGCCCCTGCTCATCAAACCCTTCATTTTAAAATGGCACTGTTCAACAAGGTTTGCAATATATGAACCAGCCAACACAACATTTTGAGATAATGTTATTTACCCTCATCCTTAACCATCAACAACAAAAAAACTAGTTAAAGGCCCACTGCACTACTTATAGCTACTTGTGCCCTCTATATAGCAAACAATGTCTAATTGGTGCCTTTTGGTCCCCCATGATCCCCTTTTTCTTATATTTTACTTGAGAGCTGATTGATGTGATAACCACCTGTCTGTGATCTTGCAGGGAGGTCTATTCCCTCCTGGCCACACTAGTGCAGACAGGCTTTAAAAGTGCTTGAATGACAGCATTGTGACAGTTTCCTCCTGACCGATGCGTAGATGTCTACGAGAAAGTTATTTGATGAGTTACTCGTCTAGTTTCATCGTGAGATGGTTGTTCTTTCAAGGCCGAAGGAGAGAGGGTATGACGGGTTGGCAGTGCTGTTAGCTTTGTAAAAGTTTTCTGTTTCTTCCCTTGAAGGGGGCGCAGGGGCGGGGTTTCCAATGGGTCTCTTCTGCTGCTCGTAGAGGGGTAAGTCACGACCGGTGGGATCAGTAAGGGTCGGTCGCCAGGGAACATCACATCCTCGTACCCTGTCATCGGGATGCTCCTCTAAGGAGTCTTTCTGTAATAAGAAACAAGTTTTAAATGAAAATATGAAATGTTAACTCTATCCTTACAATCAGGCACAGTGTGCAGAAATATTTCCACATAGTTAAAGTTATTGTGCATGCCAAAAGAGCGTTTTTTTGACACATTCAAAAGAGACAAACATTTTCACCATATCTGACTTCATTACCTCTAACTAACATAATGTTGAAAAACTTATACAAAGTATTAAGGTGAAAGAATTATTAATTTTAAAGAAGCAGGCTGCTTAACATGAAAGCGTATCATTTTGTTTTGTAGCTTTATAAAGCAATGATTTTCCAAAATGGTGTTTGGGATTTGTAAATGGGCCTGTATATGTCATGGATCATCGTGACAGCAATGTTTTAATAATAACATGGAAATAACCTTAGGACATAAACAAAATAACAAATGCTCTGCTTGGATCGAAGGAAGAGTATGATACCGATTTGATTGAATTGTACTTAATTGTATTTACAATCGTAGTAAGTAAAAAAAATCCTGTCTTCTTACCAATTTTTGTGAGATGTTTGCAATTTGACATTGGACATCATATTTCCAGTTCTGTAGCAAAAGACAAACAGTTGAATATAATCATTAAACTGGAGAACAGAAAAATGATATGTAAGACTATACACATAACAAATGGTAGAGAGTTGAGACTAATAATATGAATTTGTTCTCAAACTCAGATGAACGATGAAGACCATGCACATTTTGCTATCATTATTTGTTGTTATAATCATTTTCATTATTATTATTATGACAGTTTCTAGTCAGTGCCTAATCATAAACATCCCTAAAATGAAGTTGTATGATCTACCGTAATCAGCATATCATTAACCCATTACATTGTCACAACTGGTGGTGTCTGCATTTAATTAGAATGAGGGAATTGGGTATAGTTAATGGATAGCTAGCTATAGAAGGCTTATTGCACTCTAGCTGCGACGCTCTTAATACTTACGCCAAATGTTTCATGCGTTCGTTGTTGCCTTAAGCCCATGTTGAATTCTGGGACCACTGTCCATGACTGAGGATGTGGTAAAAGTGGATTAAATGAGATGGATTCTAGACCAACAGAACTCTGGGTGCATGATTCCTCACCAGACCGGGCCATCATCAGCTGTAAAATGGATATAGACATACAGTAGAGAAATGTACATTAGGATCGATGATGGAATTTACCATAAAAGTTAATGTAAAATACATAGGCCTGTTTAGTTCTGATTCTTTCATTCTTCTTCTTCTTTTTCTTCATCACCTTTCCCTTCCTCTTCTTCTTCTTCTTCTTATTCCACTTGCTTGCCCTCTTCTTCTTCTTCTTCTTTTTTCTCTTCTCCTCCTCCTTCTTCTTCTTACTCTTTCTCTTCTTCTATGTAAACTCTGTATTCTTTATTATTTGATTTGAACACAAATAAACTAAAGCAATAGTCACTGCCAGCTAGCATACTACCACAAAAATGAAGAAATATATATATAGTTTCTCTCAAATGTTGACTACATTATTAACTACTTATAGATGTACAATGTTATTTGAAAACAGCATCTCCACGCAAGACATATCATTATCAAAGTTACCAAAAATGCAGTAATGATATTGCAATACACGCAATTACACGCAATACACGCCTCACACTCACATCAATGGCCGTATACTCTCAACGAAACGGTTTACATAAACATTAATCTATCTATCACTTATGAATACTGTCTTTTGTTTATGTAAATAATACGAGCTACTCCCAAGGTTATAATTCTCCGATAACGCTCACCTTAATATTTGTTCCAACAAAGATAATTCAGCAGCTGTATCAACGAGGCAAAGTTTATATGCATATGATGATAATAATATACTTCGGTAGGAGTATGAAGCATGCACCTGTTGCATTCACATGCGTACGATCGTAAACACGGAAGCGGTATCGTTTCTAATAACAACAAACCCTGGTAATCGCGATCGCTATGGACAACGCCCCCACGTGTGTGTTGTTCGCACCGACTGTAAAGCGCGGAGAACAGAATCGGCAGAAGACGGCCGGGGATCGAAACAGGACATTTAAAACCATTTCATTTCATGTCGAATGTTCTTCACCATGTGGTAATTTATAGTCCTAGAATATTTTTTTAGAAAGTGGGGCATGATAATTACATGTATAGCCGACACATAAACACATTCCTCCGCACTGCGACTTACTTGAGAATTGCAATATGCACAGATGATTTTATCAATGATTTCGATATAAATCTTAATTATTTCATTCTGAAATTGTATTTTACATCAATAAACTTTTGTTAATTTATCCTTTGTAGAAGAAGAAAATTCCCCAACAAAATACTAATGTTTGTGGAAAGAAAAGGGCATCCCGCCACCCCCGGCAATTTTGCACTCTTTTCCTGAATAATTGTTCGATAACCTGTTTCTCCATTTTACCTTTGAAAGTTCTACTTTCTACAGGCTCATTATTGTTTCCTTTTTATCTATTCATTGATCACTAGGTGTGTTCCTTTGTCTCTCATTCGAAACCTGACGGAATTAAAGGCCTACTATAATAGTAGATCTTTGACTCGTTCGTAATTAGACATTATAGAGTTTATAAAATTACGAATGGATGTCCATTCGTAATTTTATAAACTCTATAATGTCTAATTACGAACGAGTCAAAGATCTACTACTATAGTAGGCCTTTAATTCCGTCAGGTTTCGAATGAGAGACAAAGGAAAAAGTCATCGCGTCATACATAAAATCATTCCCTAAATCATATTGAAATTTAATCTCTCTTTATCTCTAACTCGTTATATCTCCATTTTCTACCCTTCACTCCCCCCCCCCCCCCCCCCCCCCCCTCTCTCTCTCTCTCTCTCTTCCTCTGCATGTCTCCATCTCTTATAGTATCTCTGAAATCCCAATTCTTCAATTTTCCCTTGGTAACTTTCTTTTTTCCCTCAATATAGTTTGTATATATGCCATTTTAATCCCTTTTTCTTCATCTCCTCTTCGATTTTGCTCACCCCTCGTTTTGTTTCTTTCTTTCATCTTTGTACGATCCCCCTCCCTCTGATAAAAATATTTACAGTATTATAGAAGCATTGATGTTAGGGAGTTCCTAATTATGTATTTTCTATAGATATATTTGTAGCAGATGACTTGTCCATATTCAACTCTTTTCCTGGTATGGTAGACTGATAAACAAACCATCAAAGTCAAATTTTGTCACAGGTTATGTTCCATGTATATGTACAATATACATAATTATTCACAAAATAATTGGGCAGTCTAGGATTTCACTCCGAAGCAAGTAAAGTATTCAAACCTCATCTCAGTGACCTCCTCTCTATAAAGGCCAACTGTCTCACCAATGTTACATTCCTCTAGAAGGAAATGTGTGTTGGAGAACCTGTTTACAGTGGCCACTTGTTGTGTTCCCTTTGGTGGCCTTAATGTACAGGTTTGACTGTTTATAACATGAAGGAATCTCTCTACCACAGCAGGAATTCTTTAATTCATAACAAATAATAAAAAGAGTAGAACAGCAAAACTATGCACTTTCATTTATATGTGAGAAAATTTTATTCCAAATCACCATCAATTTGTAAAATTTGTCTGAATTTATATAAATAAAGAACATGTGAAAGGCTCATACAGAGAATTGTAAAATAATATTGAAAGAACAGAGCTGATATACGATGGCCACTTCTGAACTGATTTACATAAATCATACATGAGTGACATTGAAAACTTGCCTTTAAAAGAAACATACATTTTATTCTAAGAATCTTTTATTTACAATTTATACAATTAAAGTTGTATATTTACTTATGCAAAGTCAACTGTGTACAGATATATCAAAGTAATGTTCAACTAAATGGAAATCAAAGAAAGCACCGTTGTTTAAAAAAAACATTAAAAAACAAAAATGCTGTTGAAAGAATCATACACACACTAAAAGTAACATAGTCAAGAATGTTGTGCTCAACATCATTTTCAAAAAGAAAATATTCTTCATTGGATACATAAGAATGGAAGACAGAGTATATAAGGCTATCCATTTGTGTCTATCGTAAACAAAATTAATACGAAAGGCACCTAAAGTGGGAGACATATCAATTTCATATCAAAATAATTTTTTGTTCTTTTACTTCTCCTGGTGGAGTGAATCCTGAGTGAATTAATATGTTGAGATATGAGGCGAGATATTCTGTTCAATTGATTTCTGTTTCGCTCACTTAATACTTCTTACAAAAGAATGAAAATTAACTAACTGAACTGGGATGTCATTTGACAGTACAAGTACTTACAACAAAATGCAGTTGATATTAAATTCTGTCACACTCTTTTAACGATATGAATAATTTGTACTGGTACCTCATAAAGAAATATACATCACAAATTATTGAAAATGAAATGAGATTTTTTAAGTAAACACCCCAACTTAAGACAATTATCCCAATTATACAATTTAATTAGGAATATTACATGAATTGAATTGAAAATCAAATTATTTCATTCATATATAAATCACATATTTGATCAAAATGAGATATCTAAATTTCATTCAGAAAAATATTACATATCAAAAGAAGAAGCATGACTAGAATGAACTCAAAAACATCAAAAGAACAACATTTTGTGTATTTAACATTTTATCACTTCAATTCTTGAAAGACAAACTGATTGCTTTACAAAGAAACAAAGTCTGTATTGCAACAACAGCTAAGATAAAAATGGATTACTTCTCAACAATAACAGAATATGCTGACTGACTTCATGTCCATACTCTTAACATACAATAAAAGAGTTCCCATTAGAAAGTAGGCCTATTCACAAAGTGGAAAGAAATCACAAAGAATTAAGTGCATAATATAAATTCACAATTTTCTAAACATTTTTTTTTGTTTTGGTTTGAAAACAATTATTACTTCCAGGCTTAAAGGAACATGTACTCTTTAATTTTTGAAAATTAATAAGTGAGAAATCAATCTGAATGTGATGTGAAATTAGGATATGAAACAATGACAATGAGTTTCTTTGAAACAATCCCTCTAGTTGATACGTTTCATACATTTTCTAGATGATACATTTCATGATAGGGTTATTTATGTTGCTGTTTGAATAGATTTCCTATCATTCATTTTGTTATGACATTAAAAATAATGTTTTTTCTTTCTTTTTCTGACGTTTGAAACCCAATGGATTCAGTTAATTCAACTACTTTTGCGATTATTTCAAAATGTAAAAAAAAAAACCTTTAGCATTCAAGAATCTTGTTAATAATTACTGTTTTTTAAGTATGTCCATTCTACTGTTATGTTGTTCACATAAGTTACCATTATAAGATCCATGTTCACATACAATTGCACTGAATGTACACAAGTATTTCAAATTCACATAATGTACAGCTTCCCAGACATCAATGCTTGATATTCAATCAAAACATTATAAATCTACCATACTTATTCATAGGATTTTTTTATATTATATTTTTGTACATCTTTAAATCCGAACCTATTATCAATGAAGCCTGCATTGGTAATGTTTAAGAATATAAAATGAGTTTGACATTATATTACAGACATTTGAATGACATATTTCTAAAATTCAAAAATCCTTTTCATATTAAAAATGTATATACAATCATAACAAGTAAAATAACTTTGAAATAAAAATAACAACGTTTTGTTATGTATGCAGTAAATTACATAAAGTTCATATCATTTGAATATAAATAAACAAAATAATAATATACCCTCAGACTTATCATTCATATTTCAGAACTAATTATTAGAATTAGCAGAAAGTATACATCCCATGTGTAATGCTGTAATGAGACATGCATGCAGCAAAAATAATTCACATATAAATGAATACAAATCAACATTTTCAATATGACATGAAACAGCAAGGTCATTAGAACACGGACTAACAACCTGTGAAAATACATGTTCATGTAATGTTCGAAAGAATGACTGTAAATGTATTCAAGACCAAGAAAATATGCTTGCATAGCACAATTACGTCAAGCCCCAGGTACATGTAATATATCAAACAATTTCATCACAAGACTGTTTTAAATTTCATTAGGAGGTTACTGTTTAATGACAAATTAAGAAGAGTTACTCATGTATACATGTGCATTGTATGAATACACTGAGGATTCATCATTTATATCAGAGACACAGGTTTATATGTGTAACTATTCTACAATATATATCTGTATTTACAATACTTTCTTTTCAGCTAACATCAGCATACAAGGATAAAACACTTTAAATATTTTCAACAAATTTTTCATAGTGATGGAACAATACAGGTGTAAGTTTACTGCTGAAAAGTCATTTAAATATGGTATCAAATAATAAAAGACAACGTAGTCCACGAATCAAATGTAAATACAAGCTGCAATCAACGTAATTTTGAATTTAGAACCATTCTGAATAGAATAGGAAGCTCTTTAGACTGGAAGAAGTTGATTTAATGAGGATCGATTCCCAGTCCAATAAAGAACAGTAATAAATACCACTATCATGGAAAACTTAATTTCATCACTATTAGTATTACTCATAATAAATGTAACAATCAACAGTGCTCATCTCTTTCAAATTTTCACTAAAGTAACGCCACATTTGATCTAGTAACTCATCAGGAAACCAGAATTTAAGGCCCCCTCACTGGACATATTTTCAACATTAGCCATGTTTCTTTGCCGTTCGGTCAAAGTAGGCTTAAACTATGCCACACATCAGTGAAAAGTGTGTGTATTGTTAATAGATCTGGGCTAACTTGGACATGGTGGAAGTCATGGAAGAGTTAATTATCCAAGAGAGTTGATCTGATCGCCAGTATTGTGTCAATGTTCGCTTTAAAGGGATTATGTTCCTTTGACTGTAGTGTAATGGAGATGGGAATGGAAATTGGCTATTTTCAATGTGCATTGCATTTCAGACCTGTAATTTTTTTTACCGGTAATCAGTTCCCTTCTAATGGATGTTAAAGAAGGACATGTAGTTTACTCAAGCGCTTTCATTAATTCATACTTAGGCAGAAGGGCTAAAGCAGGAAATATACTATTAGTGTCGCACAGTGAAACCTGTATACAAAGAGGGCTCAAGGGAGGCTCAGAAAACAATCTTTATAGTCAGGTGGTCATAATGTACAGGCTCAGGTTTTCAATGAGAAATGCTGTTTAAAGGGATCCGGTAACTTTGTCTCAGATTCTGAAACAAATTCTGCATTTGAGCTCATGCTGCAATGATAATTATAAACCTTTAGGTCAGTCAGGAACCCCATGACTTTTACAAGCCGATCGCCTGTCTGATTATCAAGATATTTATGATTGGAATTACAAATCTTGAAAACCGTTTTCATAACACTATTGGGGAAAACGAGTATGGTAAAACCGGTCACTCAAAGATTTTGACTTTTTTGAGGCACTTTATGATCATTTTGAAGGAAATTATTTTTAGGGCTTCAGTATTACACTACCGGTATGTCACGGACACTGATAACACCTAGGGCCATGCATCTCAGATTTAACATTGATAAACGATGTCTTTAAGTATATCTTTTGGAACACCCAAATACAAGTTATTTGATGGGAATATGTAAAACATTGACTAAAAATGTAAATGTTGAAAATTTGAAGAGGCGAAATTGTAGGAAACGTATTAGTTTATGGCTACATGTATTTAGTGGTCGTGTGTGTGTGAGTGGCAGATGTTTGTACTCAAGAAAGGAAGGTTAATATGGCAATGATGATATTTTGTATGGAGCCTTGTTTCCAAGGGTTATCAAAAGCTCTGCTCTCTTAGACTATTAATACTTTCTTCAAATAATCCATCTGTAACATAGAACTACTCAATAGCACACAAATGATAATAGACAAAATCACCAAGCCTTTCTAACATATCATAATAAATCTAACGACTCAGCAGAAACATTCTACAAACATGAGATGCTGTAGGTAACTACATGTAACTAAACAAATACAATTCCAGCTTAAACACAGACAAGAAAAATAAAAGCAAAAGCTGCCACGCTCTGCCACGTTGCTACTAACTAGAATCATTTAATAATGAATAAAGCATTCACCGAGCCTGTATACATGGTAATACTTTATTAACTTCTTTTCCCAACTCATCCTAAATGCCACATACATTTAAATGAGTGACTGTGATTCAGCTCAAACAATAGTGCATAATAAAGCACGTGATGGGGTAAACCACCTAGAAGAAGAAAAAAATACCTCAGCAAAATAAAATCACTAAGGTAAGCATAGTATTCTTCACCTTTATAACACACAGATAGAGTTAACAACTGAATTATTCATACCCTTAATACCAAGTTTTGTAACTTTATAAATGAACAGAAAATTGATTTGTCCTGATTTGCCTTTCTTGAGAATATGACATATCAAAGCGTACATCTAAAAGTATTCAACAGAGACCCTTTTTAACCGGTCCACCTTTCATTCTTGAGTTACGATAAACACAAAAAACATCAAATTTACAAGGGGTATGAATAATTCAGTCGTTAACTGTACATGTAAGTGAGTATGCCTAGAGGTCTTTGTAGCACACAGCTACTTAATCATCATCACATGCCATTTATTCAAACATAAAATTATTTCATTTGCTGCTGCACTTTATTTTTTTTCTAAGCAGTTCATGGCGTCATAAGTGAACGAGGTTTAAAAGGTCCAAGAAATCAATGGGTCCTTTGCTTACAAGCTTAATACATGTACCTCAGTCAATCCAACACGAGTAGAAAGACTCACACCAGACTGACAACAGACTCACCTAAAAATTACATTACCTGACAAGAAAACAAATTGGTTTGGAGTCGGCTTGGAGTAAGTGTGGCGATGTCAGTGAGGTACAAGAACATGCGAATGATAAACTGATTCTATGCTAAGGTGATTGGTTCTAGTTAGCTCCCTGGTTATGCTTGCTAGTCCGAGGTGAAGGTTTGGGGGAGGGCCTGGGTGAGAGACGTGGTGAGAGGCGCGGTGAGAGGTGGGGGCTTGAAGGGGACGCTGCTGCTCCTCCATGGTGGCCAGGGTGGCGGTGTGCTTTGTGTTTTCTCTTGCCCTCTTTTCGGGGGCTTGGGCGTTGCCTGCTGGGTGCCGAGGCCGACGGGGAGGGGGACCGCAGGACACGCCCATTGTTGCTGAATACCACGCTGTCGTTGGGATTAGTGATGCCAAGCTTCTTGTTACGTTTCTTGATTGCTTCTTGAAGCATGCGCAGTAAGAAGCGCTTGTCTTTACCTTCCTGTAATGGAAGATCATTACAAAGGGATATACATTAATAAATGAGTGGATGGATATACAGACTACAGGAGATTGTCCTATCTGAAATATGTCTTCAGACTTTGCTCCTTAGTGATAACATATTTATCTGATAGATCTTCATGGCACTTGCTGGTACCAGTATGTAGCTCACTTTGGTAATTTAAAACAGTGTATCATTTTAGTATTGTCAACATCACATTAAAAAAGAAATTATTTCATACATGATATAATTAATTTGAAAAGTAGACCTCAAACTGTAAATTAAAGCAACATCCAATAAATATATTTGTTTTAATTTTGTTTAATGAGTGTCATGTGCAAAACAAGTATATAAGTACCTACTATTAATGATACTTGTAGAGTTAAGTACAAGGATAACAAATAATCATTAGCAAGCAATCAAATCTGTTGCGACCTGACATAGTATCAGCTGTGATTTGCTATACATTGGACTGCCTGACTGTAAGCACATGAATTATGTGCTTTGTTTCTTGCTTATATTCATGAGAAAATGGAGAGACATAAAGGGAGGGAAAGAGGGTGGGAGGGAAAGAGGGACATAATGTGAGAGGGGATGAAAATGGAGAGGGACACAATGTGAGAGGGCACGAGAGAGGGAGACAGACAGACATAGAGACAGACAGACAGACACACATAGAGAGAGAGAAAGAGAGAGAGAGAGATTAAACTCACCAGATTGATCTGATGTTGAAGTCTCTTGACAGTCTCCTTGTAACCCAGAGAAACAGATCTTCTGTAGTACACCAGCAAACTAAACAACACAATAAAGAGGATTTAAATAAAAATGCAATGTACATGTAACATCCCCTTGAGCCTATAGGAACAGCAATGCCGCGGCGATAATAAATTCCTTGGTATGAAGTGTATGTTTAAAGGTGTCATGGTTTAGTGGATCCGTCTCCAGACTTTGGATCACATGGTTTGTGGTTGGAGTCCCGCCGCAACACTTAATTCCTTTGGCAAGACATTAATTTACATTTGCCACTCTCCACCCAGGTGTAGTCAATTGGTACCTGGTAAGAATTCATTCTTAAGCCAGGGTAATAATAATACTTTGTACTTTGTAAGCACCTTGAGCATCCCCTGGGATGTATACGTTTTATTGTTGCTGTTGTTGTTGTCATTTAGTATGATTATCGTGTTGATGTAAAAAAAAAAATTGTTAATGTTGAGTTAAAAAATAAAACTAAGGAACTATTATTCCACTACATGATGGAATGCAAAGGAAAGAAACTTACATGATGATGAGTATGATCCCTACGAGGACACCAGGACTGGTCAGTAAGATGACCAGTGTGGTGATGACCCTATCCGACTGCTGCCATTTACCAAACAGATCAATCACCACATCATAGGTATCATTCCTCCCTCTGAAGGGTCCACAGTTAGCAGAAGGCTGGATCCTAAACAGATGGAGAGTTGGAATAGGATAATGCTTTATCCATAGCACTTGAAAGCATAGGCCATTTTCGTAATGTAACCAAATGTAATGCATAAGTCTCTGTGAAGTGCCTCAATACAAATTATTTCATTCAATTTGGTTACATTACGTAAAATGGCTTACTGGCACAACATAGTTTGATATAAAATAAGATATAAATTGTTAGAGAGCATCCTATTGGCTGAGAAGCTATCACATGGCATTAGACATTTTGTTATAAGTGCATGAGTATGCCATACAATGACATTTTTTTTGCATGGTTAAGTGTGTACAAAAGTGTAACACACATCCAAGCAATCCTACGCTACTCATTGTTTGCATTGTCTTATCAATGTGCATTTGACACGCAAGGCTTGATGGCTCAAGAAAAAACAAGGCATGAGAATGCTACCCTCAATTTTATTTAACAATTATTGAATGTATATCGCCATTGTATGTAATACATAATCATCTCCAAATTAAGAATTTCCCTCTTACAATTATATTTCAACCTGGGCCTGAGGCCTCAGTGACAGATAACATCACTTGGAAAATTCTGAATCTATCCATTCATATATTTTACTGTATTGAACTCCGGCGCATTCAATATTTGCATAATAATACACCATCCTAAACAAGGACTGAACTTCAACACAAGATGCATCCACAGCCCAACCCACAATGTAAATCTAACCTAAAAAAATAATTTTAAATAAAATATATAAAACAGGGGCAATTGTAGTCTGATACATGTACATTATGAACATGTGCAGCATGACTTACTGAACTACGCTGTATCCAAAAGCTCCAAGGCATATCATGTACATGAGAAATAGGATCCCAAGGAATACAGTCTTCGCTAGTCCTGCTTTCCAAGGTCTTAAAGATGGTTTGCAGTTGTACAGAACACTGACCTAAAGAGGATTCCAAAAAAAGAAAACATAAGCACTTATCATTACTTTTCTAATGTTGATTTTAATGAACTGAAGCTTGTTTTTCAGTCAAATCTGCATTAGTGGCCACACGCATAGAACAAACACCTGTCTATAAAGACCATAGTTCCTTTCACTTGAAACAATGTTTCAGTGTTTGAAATTTGTTAAAGTAAACCCATCTGTTAAGACCATCTGTTCATAAGGAATGTTTTTTGTTAATGTCTCCCCTGTGCAGACTTACTATACAAGTTTGACCGTAAAACTAATAGTGTCACTGCTGGAAAATAAAGAAATGTTATAAATTGACATTGTATTCATTAATACATACAAGATGCATAATACATGTAGTTTCTTCCTCTTAAAAAGACTTGTCTAAGAACATCTTTGAGGTTCAATTCATAAATTTGAGGTATGGGCAGACATGAATATTCAACCTGTGATACATGATAAAGAAAATTAATAAAGTTAATGTTAAGCTTACCTTTTTGACATAAAAGATGAGGACAAGTTTAAAGATATTGATGACCATGAGTAGCGGAGAGAAGTACATGCCAATCCTGAAATCATAAATAAGAAACACAGTGGTCAAGTACTTGTAGATGTGGAGCAAAGCAAGGAGTCCATGGCTTCACCCAACTTCAACTGAAGTAACTACATGTCTCAGGACAAGTCCAAGCTATTTTATCCCACACATTACCAACCACATCTTAAGATTTCTGATCATCATATTAAACTCATAGCGATTAGCCCTACTAGAGCTTCTATCTACTACTATCGCACCAAGGAGAAATGACATGTTGTATGTCATTTCATCTTCAGAATTTTGAAATACCTGTTAACATATAAATGGCCAAGTTACCTTGTACTCTCCTATCGAATGAAAAATCAACATTCATTTCTTAGCACTATACAAATTTGTGTTTAGTTTAAAATGTGCCAAAGATATTTCATAATTGCAATATGTCTGAATACTCTGACTAAGATAGCTTAGACTGGGTAAATGGAAAAAAAATACATACTGTATCACAATCAAGTCGTATCTGATGGTTGAAGTGTGTGTGTGTGTGTGTATTGGGTTTTTACAGACGTGTATCAATCAGATATGATTATTTACATCTGGGGACCAACCTTTAAACGTCATCATCCCTAAAGACGTGACTAAGTTTCAAACCTGGGTCCTCGTCTGAATCAGTTTGTAACTTCCAATGTTAGCTGGATTACAGGCGCATGCCACAATGCCTAGAAGGCCGATAAGATTGGCTTATATAAGTGATTTTGTTCATGCTTACCATGTATACGTCTGAGACTGAATAAGATCCATTGTGTTACGTGCAATGTCAAACTCAGGAGAGGCAAAAGTCTGGCAACAATGGTCTTTCCCAATTCTGTACAAAAGGAGAAACAAGAAAATCTTCTGTAACGTTGACGACTTTGTTATTAAATTAGATGGCTAATGGCTAGAACAATCTATTTTTGTCGCTGAGTGTTTATACAAAAACTGATTAACAACAATTGTGCAAAGCAAAGAAGATTTGTAATAGTAACTACTTTTCACAATAGTAGTACTTTGGTGCAGATGAAACAAATTTCTTTAATTATAATACTGTTTAAGATGTAATCAAGATTGGGCCATTCTGAATTTCATCCAGTTTTAATGTCATTCATAGCTTATATATGTACAAATGCATATGGATATTATTGCAGTTATTTCAATTTTCTTTGGTAATCCTTTTATAATTGAGGCCTGATACTCAATAACAATAAGAAAAAGTGAAAAGTGTTTACAAAATAACTTTACTGAATGATTATTACCTTCTGATGAATTCCAAGACGAATGTTGCTAAACTTTGAAGGATGAAATCCACAATGACGAGCTTGTAGACTTCATTACCGATGAAGGTTTCCCAACACTGAAACAACAAACAAAAGTACATCCAGAGTAGTTAAATAATTGCTTTGATACATTCCATGATAAGAGCATGAAGGAAATATTGTCAAAAAGCATAACAAGTAAAAAATAAAATATCAAAAAAATAAAAAAATAGCATGAAACTTTCTATTGCTCTAGCTAAACTTTAAGCTTTCTAATTCGGCCTTTTTGTAGTTTTTTTTTAATGGAATACACAAATTCACATGAACAAAATTGGGGGAATAATAGTTTTTCAGCATTTATAGAGGCCATCAGAGGCCAAAGAAGGGTTTGGGGTTGGCTCACAAGATTGCAACAACTTATTCTCAGTCTTGTTTTCAAGGTTTACTACCAGAAAAGAAGAGATGTTGTGGTATAGTGGTACATTCCATTGACTGTCCTAGTCCAGCACTTTAGCAAGAACATCAGTCTAAATTTGCCACTCTGCACCAAGATGTCAATGGATACTTGAGCACTACCTACATGTATTGGCCCTTCGGCTGTAACTAGATTACTATTGGAGCAGCAACAGCATCACTACCTGATCAACATGAGGGCTATACGGGAAGCCACGATTATCATCAAATTGATAAAAGATTACAGGGGGGTGTTTCACAAAGATCCCAAGTCGAAATTAACTCTAAGTTGGACTTAGAATTTTTGGAAAGCCATTTGTAGCCTTGAAATAAAATATATTAAAAAGTCAAAATTCAAGTATTTTAGACTTTTTATAGATTCCACATCAAGCACATTAAATCTCCTTGATAATAGAAAAAGTGAATGATTTGAATCTACATTTTATGCCTTTTTAATAAATTTTACAAAATATTTTCTAAAAGATGTTAACGGTTTTCCATAATTGTTAAGTCCAACTTAGAGATAAGTTCAACTTAATATCTTTGTGAAACACCCCCCAGGTAGCTTTGATCTTACCTCAACACAGTTTTGTGTTGACTCGTCCGTACAGCTGATTTGATTGAGCCAGAAGTAACACAACACACAAAGCACTGATGCCTTCATCAGAAACGTTCTATACATGTAAGGGATGGGAGGATATGAGAGATGTGATAAACGTATTGTCTACTGGATGACATCATTAATTTGTGATTGATTTAATAATCCATCAATAAGTCAATCAATGTTAGCTAATGGATAATCTAAAATGATTTATAATTCACATAGGACTTTCTCATACAAGGTACTTAGAGTTAGAAAACAATACATAATTAAGTAGAGGTACAGGTGTATCTTCTTATTAATTGTGGTGATTTTCACTTTGGAAGGCTTGTGTATTTCAAGACCTTGGAGGGGGGAATCCTTTAAAAGCACACTTGGAAATGAAAATAATGATCACTTTATTAGTGTGTACTAGTACGAAACATTTCCATTTGTCATACTGTTTTTGTAGATCAACTAGACAAAAATCAAATAAAACACACATTGTGAAACTTGCAGTAAGAATGTAGTAATTTGTTCCAGAAAATTTACAAATATATCATATATTGTTTTGTTTTCACAGCCATGAAAGCAAGGACTAAAATGAGAAAGGAGGAAATCCAATTTTACCTAAAGAGTGAAACATAGAGCTGCATCCTTGGGTTGGAGTATTTCTCAAATGAGCTGAGAACACTGAACATGTAAGGCAACGTCAGGTTGTAACCGCTGATAACTAGAGGAATAGCCAGCTCTCGTATTACAGTCAGTCCCGAATCTATCTCCTGTTATTCAAAGGAAAGTATTATGACATGGTGAAAATATAGTTAACACCAGGTAGCAGTTACTGATGGCTAGAGGTCTGGCTAACTCTCGTACTATGCTCAATGCATAATCTATCTCCTCTAATCAATTAAACATATTCTAATCTAAAACTGCTGGGAACCCCTTTCATTTGTAAAAACTGCCTAGGATGTGGACCTTCAATGAAAAGCAGTATTATGTCCTTCAAATTTAACCATGAAACATTTAAAATCAAAACTAAAATGAATACTTAATATGACTAGAATACAAAAGTCCCAACACTAAGAACAGATTGACATTTAGCCCTAACTTATGATCACCTATAATGTATTACTACTCCAATGGCGGAACATATCAAGAAAATATATGTTCATCTACATATACATTGCACATTTGTTTACAATTTTAAAACAAATGTTTGTGTCAAATTCAGTAATCAAATTCAGTTAAGAGTCTTGTTTCAAACTGACAGGGTCTAAACCTATTTTATTTTTTACTTGGCTCTTTAAAAATTGTTGACAATGTCTTCAAATGTAAAAGTTTAGAGAATAATATAGCAATATAACTTACCGCTACCACACTATCGTACATATAGTGTATGAGATACGAGGCACCTGCTATGATTGCGAAGACGATGATGTTGATGGTGAGACGTAACAAATAGATACCAAATGTTTTACAGCAGCCAATACTATCTGAGCTGTGATGAGATGTGAGGGCTTCCTACACGACAGGAGAAGGAAACATTGTCAGGTGAAAATTAAATCAACAATGCATATCATAATCATACATGTATTCAAACAATGCCACATTGCACTTATTGTAATTATCATTTTCATCACGTATGATACTAATTACAAAGTAGCATTGATTAACTTAATCACATTTAAAACATCCGCTTAAGGCCATTATTACCATTGACAATACATAGCGCTTATGGCCTTCTTGCGGGTAGCCAACAAAATTAAATAAAATCAAGCAATGTCACTTTCCAATTTAGAAATCATTATCCATGGGCTCTCAAAGAAATTATTATCATGCAGTACATTCATAAATGGAATAAATTCTACCAGGTACAATTACATAAGTTGAGATGGAGAGAGCTGAAGATAATAATATATGTGTACATGTACCTTCTCCAAGCAAAAAGATGATGTGTTTTGCAGAAGAACATTATAATGAAAACATTCATAACAGACAAAGTTTCTTTAGTTATCACCTGTGTACAAACCCTACCTGACTATAAAAACCAGTCTGTGTTTCCTTTAAAGGGATCGTGTAACAATGTTAAATCTGAGATGCACGGCTCTACGTGTTATCAGTGTCTGTGAAATGGTGTAATATTGAAGCCCTAAAATAATTGCGCTTCAAAATGATCAAGTAGTGCCTCAAAAAAGTAAAAATCTTTGAGTGACCGGTTTTACCATACTCGTTTTCCCCAATAGACTGTAGTGTTATGAAAACCATTTGGCAAACAGTTTTCAAAATTTGTAATTCCAATCATAAATATCTTGATAATCAGACAGGCGATTGGCCTGTAAAAGTCATGGGGTTCTTGACTGACCTAAAGGTTTATAATTATCATTGCAGCATGAGCTCAAATGCAGAAGTTTGTTTCAGAATCTGAGACAAAGTTACCGGATCCCTTTAAACAACATTTCTCATTGAAAACCTGAGCCTGTACATTATGACCACCTGACTATAAAGATTGTTTTCTGAGCATCCCTTGATCACTGAGCGACACTAATAGTATATTTCCTGCTTTAGCCCTTCTGCCTAAGTATGAATGAATGAAAGCGCTTGAGTAAACTACATGTCCTTCTTTAACATCCATTAGAAGGGAACTGATTACCGGTAAAAACAATTACAGGTCTGAAATGCAATGCACATTGAAAATAGCCAATTTCCATTCCCATCTCCATTACACTACAGTCATAGGTTTTCAGACGTGCTTACAGCTAATTCCAGATAGATACTCTTGTTCTTGAGCTTCGCTGTAGACTCTGATGTAATACTGTAGTCCCATCCACAGAAAACCTTGGCAGTAAAGAAGTTGTAATGACGATCACCCGTCACGAAGTACTGCCGATACGCCCTGGACATTCTGTGAGAGTATAAGAATAACAAAATACAAGTTACATTTTCATACTGGCAGGGCTCACATTAACTTTCTTTCATATGAGGTCAACATTTAAATGTTTAAGGTCTGTAAGATACCTGTTCATATTTTAAAAATTTGGGCCCATATGCAGTTGTTGGTGTCAGGACCTACATGTATGTAGGTTTCCTAGTGTAGAGGTGTCGTGGTCGAGTGGATATGTCACCGGACTGTGGATAAGTCATCGGACTGTGGATCACAAGGTCCGCGGTTCGAGTCCAGCCGCGGCACTCATGTCCTTTGGCAAGACATTAATCTACATTTGCCACACTCGACCCAGGTGAGGTAAATGGATACAAAGCAGGAATGAATTCCTTTAAATGCTAGAGTGCCGTAATGGCAGTTAGGCTAAAGCGGGTAATAAGCTCTTCGGAAGGGCATAGAGACTTTATAGCTGATGTGCGCTAAAAAGAACCAAATATTATTATTATTATTACAAAGATTTGCTAATTAATATTACATACATGTACATGTACATGTTCTGAATGTTATTGATGAAATACAACAATATCAAAATAAACAAAATCATATCTCCTATCCTACATAAAGTTCATATAGAGTCCTTGTTATGGTCAAATAATGGAAAGGTTTCAGTTAATCCTGAGTTCCATTTGCACATTTATCATACATGTCTAGACATAATCTGATACTCTTATAATGTTTACTATACACAGTACATGTTTATTTTGTACTTTGAACCTAAATTCTAGTAGGTACAAAATGTTAATTATTACAAGCACCTATTGACATCATTTCCGTTATCATTTAGCTGACAGTATTCAATTTAATAGTCAATTATTTAACCATTATCAGTCAAAATACCATACAGGAAGCTATAGGAACTTCCTGGTTCCTGCATGACTTCCTGGTTTCTTGGTTCATTTGAGGACAGGGAGCTTCAATGATAACAGTTCTTAAACTCATGGTTGCATGCCAGAAGCTCAATCAAATGTATCCAGTAATGTAGTTGGACTTAAATATTATGAAGAGCCATTGTAGCCTTATACTGAAATACATTCGAAAGAAAAATTCAAGTATTTTAGACTTTTCATAATTTCCACATCAAGAACATGAAACCTCCCAAGATGATAGAAAATATGAATGATTCGAATCAACACTTTATGCCTTTTAAAATAATTTTTACAAAATATTTTCAATCATGATAACGGCTTTCCATAACTGTTAAGTCCAACTTAGAGATAAGTTCAACTTAGGATCTTTGTGAAACATCTCCCTGGTATGTTTTGTGTTTTGACTTACCCCTGAGCGATAACGATGAGAATAAGTATGAAGATAAGAATGTTAGTGATCAGGTACGCCAGTGGCATGCTGTAATAGTTCTTGTTATCTACAGTGAATGTCTCGTTGGTATAGTAACCGCAGTACAGCTCAGTATCCTTGAACCAGCCCTGGTGGACACAGACAAGGGAAGAGAAAGAGTATACATTTATAATTTATTTTCCCTGCCAATGATAGATACACAACTACACATAACAAACATGTGTATAATAATGATAATATTCAATTTATATAGCGCAGCTTTTATACAAAATATATTCAGCTGCGCCGGTTCAGAGCTCCTTTTTTACTAAATTCTACAAAATAGAATCTCTCAATTGCACTATTAAGTGCATACATATGGGAGCGTTTAACTTGAGCAGCATACATGAATGTATAAAATTGTTTATCTTCTTGAGTAATGGGGTAAAACATGCCAAAAAATTAATAAGCAAGAAGCAGCATTTTTTTAACAGTTTTTAAGACTAGGGGCATTAAAACAAAAAGGAATCTCAGTCAGTTATAGAGTGATAGAGTATAATGATTTTTACATGCCTCAAGATCTTATATTAAAGCCCCAACGCACTAGTTTGGCCAGGAGGGATTATGCCTCACTGCATAGTCACTGACAGGTGGTCATCTCATCAAATAAGCTCTCAATTAAAATAAGAAAAAGAGGATCATGGGGGACCAATGGTCACTGATTAGGCATTGTTTGATATATATATAGAGAGCGCAAGTAGCTGTAAGTAGTGCAGTGGGGCTTTAAGATTAAGTCTTCTGGGTTTACCGTAGCTGAACTGAACCTGGCCGTCTTGTCAAGTGACTTTTATACATCATATCACGTTATAAACAAATTAAACACAGGCTCTTTGTGGACTCTCCTGAAAACTGTCACACAAAATCACCCTGATCCCCTTCTCTATATCGAATGGCACCCATTCCAGGGGGGTGTTTACAAAGATTCTAAGTCAAACTTCACTCTAAGTTAGACTTAGATATTATGGAGAGCCATTAGCAGCCTTATTATGAAATATATTCAACAGCAAGTACTTTAGACTTTTCATAAATTCCACATCAAGAACATAAAATCTCCCATGATAATAGAAAATATGAATGATTTGAAACAAAATTGTATGCCTTTTAAAATAACTTTTACAAAATATTTTCAAGGATGCTAATGGCTTTCCATAATTGTTAATACCAACTTAGAGATAAGTTCAACTTAGGATCTTTGTGAAACACCCCCAGGATTTACATTCACTATATTTGATTACTTACTCCTCCAGTCAGCAGGTCCCATCCTGAGAAGTTCTGAGAGTGCGGAACACTGGCGCTAGGCTGGTAGATGAGCTGAGGCGTCGTCACAAAACCAAATGTTAGCAGGAAGACGGGGATGTTGAGAAGAAGGAGCCATTTCAGGAGGAGGAAGTAGGAAGTGACGCCGCTACCAAAGTTCCCTTCGATCTTCTTGATGGAGCTACGCCACAGCTCCAGGGAGTAAGTGAAGTCAGAGAGGCTCTCAAGGAATGACTCCCATTTCTGATGGTATAGAATAAAAGAGGAGATAATAACAGGTTAATGTATGTGGTTCAATTGTGAAGACATTCCTGGTTAAAGCACAGACACTGTCCCTTCCTCCAAATAGAAATATGAATAGCATTCTTTACTAGCATATTTGATTGACAGTCATGCATCTGATTTTCATTATTAAGAATAATTCTATCCAATCATGTGTCACTCAATAAAAGTGTAGAGAAAGAACTACATTTGTTATACTATTATTTGTTTTTCTTCTTCAAAATCGCAGCTTTCTTATTATTTGTTCACATTTTTCTCAAATGATCCCCAATCTGTTCATATCACAAAGGGGTTCATCTTAGGCCAGATCTCAGGTTTGAATCCTAAATAATCATTTTGTGCATGCTTTGACTGGTATCTACTTGAATACATCATGTGACTTTATACTTACATATGCCGCTTCATAGAAATACGCTGTACATATACCGGGTGATTTCTCTTTACTTGTTCTGCTTGATCTCCTATTCACTTGCTCTCTGTAACAAAACATAGCAAATGGAACTTCAATGATTTCATAATCGAAAAGATGACTGCAAGATTCACTTAATATCTGACTGATTTGATCTCCCGGATGGATGAGCTGATATAAACAGTGAAACCGTCTATAAAAGACCACAAAAGGGAAACAAGAAAAGTGGTCTTTATGGGCAGTTAGTCTTTATGTACCGTAGGCCTACAGGTTCCTTTAATACATGTTTCAACGAGAAACCATTTTCAAGGGAAACAAAATATGTGGTCTTTGTCGACAGGCGGTCACTAAAAGCAGGTTCGATTACTAGTATAGACTGAGTGAATTAATATTTGATGAACTAACCTATGGATTGACTGGTAAGTTGATTGATATGTGATGTTGTGAAAATTAGATTTGTGAAATTAATATAAATCGAAGTAAATTATATTAGATTATATTATATTTTTCCAAACAACCAGGGCTTTTACTGGGAGTGTCGTGGTCGAGTAGTTTAAGGCGCTTGACTGGAGATGTGAAGGTAGAGGGTTCAAATCCTGACACGGCACTATAATATCCTTTGGCAAGATATTGACCTTAACTTGCTACTCTCCATCCAGGAGTTAAAAAGGGTACCCGGTAGGATGAGACCGTCATTGTTGGTCAAACACCTTTTGAGCGTCAAGTAACGCCTAGCTGGAATGCTCCCCAGGGAATGGAGATTGTGCACACAATGTGTGCTGGCAAGCACTGAATCCAATGACCAGGGTAATCTGTAAAATGCTTAGAGACGTCCGAGATGTATTGAGCGCTATATAAAAGCTGAATATTATTATTATTATTACTGCATGGTTTACAACCATAGCAACACTAAGCCAGTTTCTCTTAAATTGAAATTCAATCACAAGAAATGATTGTTTAGATTATACTATCAAATGGACTGATGAATACATGTAGGTTATCTCGATTGATGGTCTGATTTTATTGCCTGCAATTGAGTTGAGATACAGTTGGTAGCAGAAATGAATCCTTGATAAAAGGATGGATTAGCTAAACAAAGAGGGTCCCTGACAGACTGAATTAAATATATTTCAATGAAAAATTGAATGATTGATTGATGAAATTAGTGAGTACTCAGTAAGTGTATGCATTCATGATTCAGATTACATATTAGGTGCCCTCAATATGAATACACAGTCACTTGAAATTTGATTGAAGTAAATCAATTCCACCATCATTAAAAAATTGAAAAAACAGCGATTCCAAACACAGTAATAGAAATACCAGTACACCAGAATATGTGTGCACAAGCATCACAAAATAATATACGGGGAAAATGATAAGTTTAATCAGCCCCCAGCATGGTAAACTGGTATCAATCTTTCTTTTTGATATGCTGCTGAACTACATCCACTTTTATAAGCATCAAAATGCACATATAAACTAAGCAAACTTTCTTTAGGAGACTAATGGCATTGTGTTTTTTCTTCTTCTCCTGGAACACCAGGCTTTGGCATTAGATTTAGGGTAAGGGTTAGGTATAGTACTTGGTAAAGCATTGAAGTTAGGACTTTGATTACTGCAGGTCAAAGATGGTTTAATACATTGAAGTGTTAAAATGTTCTTGAAGTTCAATGTCCTCACTATATCATATAATATCTTTCAAGAATATTCCGCAGGCTTCATTCTGAAACAGGGAAAAAATATTTCAAATATTTTTGGGGCTACTTTTCAAACTTGCTTGCACGAAAATAATACTCTTTAATTTGTTTTGCATTGAACTCTAGGCGAAATTTGGGGGGCTCTTTTTGGCATTTCTGGGGCAATTTTGATATTTATTATTGCTCAAACAAGCCGAATGACAAAGCAATTACTTGTCAAACATTATCTCTTACTATACCTACATAAACATGTGGCCCTCACAAATTAAAATGAAATGAGTCTTTCATTATCCAATAACCTCTTTGAACTTTCAACCTACATGTAAATCGGGATAGACCCATTCTCTTCCCCTGCTCTTGAGTTCCAAGTAAACACACCTATCCTATTTGCTCAGTACTATAACAGTATTTGCATTTCTTCAGATCCAGGATCTGTACCGGTCTATACCTGGTTTAAATGGTCTCAATAAACAAACAACAATGGAAGGCATGCCCACTCTACACTTCACCCCTCATCTTTCAGATGAGCAAAACGTCGTTTAATGTTTTGTAAACTGATACTGTAGCTATACAATAACTAGTTCATTCTTTCTGGTATGATTGTCATGTAACAAATTGTTGGACGAGTGAAAAGTTAATAAAGAATTGAAGTCCATATTGTGTACATTAAAGGTATAGACCAGTTCTGGTCATGCGATTGCATTGTGAAAGAAATGTTGTGGAATCGACCAGGAAAGGTTGATCATTTAGCATATACATGTAAGTATTGGTGTGTACTGCACGGGTCTGAAATCATCAAAATGATAAGAAATTTGGCCCAGTTTTGGTAAAGTTACAAGCACTGTACACAGAAAGATGTACATGTACAGGACTACCCTATATCTATCCAGTCCGGAAAGATATAAAAATTTACCAAATATATCAATTAGTAGGCGGTTTCCCGGCAAAATTTGTATCATCACGTATTAGTCAAAACATATTCTTTCACATGATTGGTGATAAGAGCTTCCATTTCATATTTTGAGAGGGGGGCATTTCCAAAACTGGTCGAAACCATTAAACTTGGCATGTTTTATAATGAGGGAATGTTTTATAATGAGCGCAAGTTTCTTAATACATTTTACAAATCCTCTAGTGTAAATGGTCTGTAGGTAAGAATCATAAGTATATTTGCAGTTTGACCCTCAGATTTCCCCCCAATAATCAACACAATGGTTTGTCAATACCTAATGGGCACAACTCTGCATGACAAATATAGCAGAGTAAACCAAATGCCATGTACCACCATATTTAGTATCCCTATGCTGACGTTAAGCTACTGTTTTTTCCTTGAACAGATCACAATAATTCAACCACTCCACCACATTTATATTCTTTTTAAATCACAAGATTTCAAACTATTTCACCACATACATGTAACTCTATTAACTGCACATGAACTCAAACTTTGCTAGTATATTTAATCTTCAAGGGCATATATATCTTAAGGCATTCCTAAATGTATTTGAGAAAAAAATTATCAAAGGGAATGGTCATTGTACCGGTATGTAAATAGTTACCGGTATGTAAAAGTTCAATGAATTTCAGTTCATTATGAAACAAGAATACATTTTCAGGTCAAATTGAAAAAAACATTCACATACAGCTTCATGTACATGTATGAACTGCAATCCATCTTCATTATACATGTGCAACTGATAGAAAGACATATGTATTAATCAAGTGTTTTGTTCAAGTATAGGTAGGTACATTAACCCACTAATTCATTGATATATTGAAATATGGATGAACTGAACAGTTCATTGTGCAAAGGTTTGCTGATTAATTGACTGATTAATTCATTTTATACTTGATTAACTCCAAATGATTTGATTGTATTGGATGATACGACAATTGAAAGATTTAAAGGTATAGTTGAGAGGTGGGAGTGAAGTTTTTATTACCAAAAAAGGAATGGATTGGATGAAGCCATTGATTGCTTCGTTCACTGATTATAAAAAAGATTTACATGACATCATGAGTATACCCAATCTGATACATTAAGGTTAGGTATCTTAATGTACAGTACCCAAGGTACAATGTAGGGTGACTGTATTAAACACAAGTTTATGATATAAACGGCATTCATAAACAATTATTTTTAACAGACCCTGCCGACTCATGCATCACTAACCTGACTCGTCGTCTTGTATCGATTGTTCCTGAGATCTGACGAATGGTATTGCGTCTTCTCAGCGTACCCCTTGATGTGCCCTGAAGGAGATTGGGGTCCGCCAGGATGTCATCCACCATGTTCTCAAGGTTGACATTCTCATAGTTCCGTCTGCTGGTGGAGCGTGAGCGACGAAGGGACGCTGAGCGAGAACGACTTCTCTTCCTCATTGATTTGCTGTGGTGGTGTGATGGGTGGTGGTGCGATTTGGCTCTGTGAAGTGTGTGTCCTGAAATGAAATAATGATAAAAATAATAATAATAATAATATTTAGCTTTTATATAGCGCGTAATACAATGTCTCTAAGTACTTTACAAATATACTATTAATAATAACTGTAGGTATTGTATAGCACTTGTATCTGGCATATTGCCACTCCTGGCGCTCCATTTCTATTACCTTGGCTGTGGCACGGCTGCTATAAAACAGCGCTCAAGCAATTCAAGGAAATAATTCTTGCCGGGTACCCATTTACCACACTATTGTTGTGAGTTAGCGTGTAATTTCCTCTCTGTGTTCACGGCCAGTTTATATGTGCATGGTCACGTGTACACGGTTATGAAATTTACCAAAAACAAATCAGTATTTCAGCCACGTAAGACCTGTCCCCAATGCTGTAATATTTCGCAGTATTATCTTTTATGTACTCAAACAAACGGACAATGGAAAACATTGCACAAACGTCGGAACAAGGATTCATTTAAAAAAATTTTTTTTTACTGTACTAACGGTACTTCACGCGAAACCATCATGCTAGCGGGAAAGTCAGACCGCAATGATTGACATTGTTTGCATGACAACAAGAGAAGAGACTCAACGGCATTAGATCAAAATTGTGCAGTGTATGAAAATAATTACTTAATGAAGTAGCATTGGAATTTAAATTATATATTTTAGACTGATGACGGAAATATTTGTGAAATATTGACTTCAGCAATTTATAATGATGAAAACAGGTGATTGTTTTTTGTCGTTTATCCGTTTGGTGAACTTTCTCAAGTGTAGTGGTAGTTTGTGCATGTACACGGTTACAGCACTTTACCCAACCTAAGTGGAGTGTGGGAAATGTAGATTAAAATTCTTGCCAAAGGACATTAGTGCTGCACCAATGATTCGAATCCCATACCTTGTGGTTTAAAGTCCAGAGACTTATTCACTGGACCAGAACACCTCTTCTAATAATAATGGGTTTTTTTAAGCGTTACCTAGGGTAGCCTCATCAATATCAATACTGTTGTTCCTGAGGGCCCTGGAATTATTATAACTCCACTGTTTTAGAAAAACACAGCTGAGATTAAAGAACATTTTCCTTTCTCATGTAGATCACGAAATTGACATTTTTCCTGCATTTTTGACATTTCAAGAGTACACTACAGTAGTGACTGTACTTAAAAGCATTAAAAAAACAAGAAGTCTGTAAAAAGTGTATGGTAAAGTAGTATCAAAATGATGCACAAGGTTATATGTACATGTATATACATGTACATGTATGTGACTTCTTTGCATAAAATACTTCTCAATGCCAAATTCAAGTGCTGTACATTTTTTACTTCCTGATAAATAGGTGATCCTGTTCACATAAAGTTCTGATTATTAATGTTTTCTGGGCTTTCATCGGGAATGAACATGACGAACAAAGAAAGCAGACAAAATATACAGTTCCTCAGGTAGACAAAGGAACATCCCTTCACTGCTATTATGTAAAAAGGTGAATATGCATGTGACACCTGTTCTACACATTTTTATATAATAGCAGTGAAGGGATGTTCCTTTGTGTACCTGGGGAACTGTATATTTTGTCCGCTTTCATTGTCAGTCACGTTCATAGTGTCTCTCTAGTTTTGCTTCTAATAACAAAAACCTAAATTCCACAAAATTAATGATCTGTGAATTCTCCCCACAAAGTGAAAATCACATCAACAAAAGCACATTGATTGAAAATAAATATTATGTGGGACAGGACTAAAACAGCCATGGAATTTCTTTCAGATGAGGATCCTTGTTCAAGGGAATCATTCACAATGACTATAGATTGCAAACTGCTGTAGACTTCTTTCTTTCTTCTTTTTAACTTCTCTTTCTTTTCTCTTCAAATTTGCTTTGAAACCCATGCATTTCTATAAATGCGGGTACTCTAATTCTTTGCCAACACAAGTAAATTCATTTGAATATCAACACTGCTCACAAAGCATAAGTATATTATAATATTCTCTCGGTGAAGCATGTATTGGAGTATTGCACATGTTGTTTCTGTAAAAGACAAAGCTATTACTATGTTTTAACCATTTATATATTTCAATTCATATCAACATACTGTAAATTAATACATCTGTCATCTGCACACCAAAATCAAGGGAATTAGAAAGTTAATAGAAGTGAAATAAAGTATATATTTCTCACCTAATTGTCTGCTTGGTAGCATGTCAATGACACTGTTTGGATCGCTAAGGCTAGCAGCAATGATTTCTCTCTCGTGTATCTCATCAGCTTCAGCATTGCTAGACTGATAGGATACGCTGGATGCCACAGAGGGACTCCGGGACCGCCCCATCAGGGGGGTCTGGCCTGACCCACTGAAGGCTGGATTGACTGTATGATGAAGATGGAGAGGGGAGAAGGAATGTGATGTTAGTAACATATGAGGAATGTGATCAGCAGAGACTGTGAGATGATGGTTATTAATGAGGATGGGTCTTCCAGATTTGTCTCTATCTATCTTTCACCTTGAGACTACTATGTTGTTGTGCCCCCTCCTTTCTCCTTAACCTTTCCACCACTCTCCCTCTTTCATTTATACCCACACACACACACACACACACACAAACACAAACTCTATCTCCTTCCCATCCTCTCTCTCTCTGTCTCTCCCCTTTCAATATGTATTTCCCCTCTCTCTTTTGTATCAATCTCTATTTATATCCCTGCTCTTATTTTTGCTTCAGTTTTTTAATACTTTTTAATACAAATTTAAACTTTTCTCCCTCCTCTTCCCTTTTTACTCTCTATTCCCAATTTCCATCCCTTTCTCTTTTTCTTGCCGTTATTGTTTCCAGGTGTGCTTATTTTCTAGCACCTTCTCAATCTGTAGCTCTACTCTTTCTACAGCATCTCAGCATCCCTCTGCTATTCATATCATCACTTCTTCTGGAAGCATCTCTTTCCTCTCTCCCTGTCACAGCTATATTTTGTTTATTCCTTCTCAGCCTCTCTTCATCTGTCTCTCTGTCTTCCCCCTCTCCATCTCTTTGCTTTCTCTTCTTCCCTCACTCCTCCTCTCCCCCCTCCCTTGTTCTCCCATCTCTCTCTCTCTCTCTCTATCGCCCCTTCCCTTTCTCCCCTGCTCTCTCTCTCTCTCTCTCTCTCTCTCTCTATCGCTCCCTCCCCTTCCTCCCCTGCCCTCTCTCTAGCTCTGTCTGTCTGTCTGTCTGTCTCTCTCTCTCTCTCTCTCTGATGTAACCTCTCTCTATGAATAGCATTCATCAGTCTACCACTGAGTGACACCCTTTACGCCAGTGTAACAGACACCCTAAGGATGCATGACAAACAAGATGGGTATCCAAGGCATGGTTACAATCCAAGACATCACCATCATCATCTACATCTAGGACAGTTCAGAGAGAGAGAGAGGGGGACCAATCCATGTCTTAACACATTGCAAAGCCTGCAGCACATGTCGTATTAGACACCACGTTATAATCTTAGTTGCACTGGACATGTTGCAAATGTTGTAGAATTTTTAAATTACAATAAAACGGATAGAGATGGAGAAAGGGGGTAAGTTACTAGCTTTGAATTTTCTTCAAAATGGAAATGAATACGAGTTTAGATAACCTACATGTACTTCTTTTCTGTACAGGAAAAAGTGTTAATTCTATTTCCTTATTATAACATATATGTTCCATACCTGTAAATGCTTGTTCTCTATATATTCAAACTCACTGGGAGTTGAATAATTTTTAGAACCAATAATGCAATTTTATAAGTACTAACAAATAATTCATGATTAATATTTTGACCTTTCATGTCAAATGGAGTAGTGAAATTCAGAAGCTTCTGGGACAAGTTCATCAGCCTTTTAGGATTGGTTCTTACATACAACGTCTTGTGCTGTAAAGTTATGTGCATACTTGAGTGGTGTAGGATGGTGTGTGGAATTTCTCAGCCCCATGCTGATGGAAAACGATGGGGTTCATGCATGTACGTGTAGAGTACACACCGCTTTATAAAGGTCACTAAACTATTATTTTAAAAGTTTATTGACCTTTACAGGTAAATATGAATTTATTCAAGTTATTTTAAAAAGCAATGTTAATATGGAAGCATCTTTCTGCTTCTTGTCCACTGTATATCTGTGATGTACATGTAGATTACATGCCTCACAGATACACAGATTCATATCAAATAAAGGTAGGCCTATGTGAAGTTCTCAGTGCATCACTAGCTAAACAATTCAGTCACAGCAATGCTACACAAATATTAACAAGTCCTCTCAGTTTCAAATGCCAATTTCTCTCTGTAAAAGGAACAAGTTTAATATCCTTTTTTTCCCTCCAATTTTCATTGACTGGTAAGTGGTAACAGAGAGTTGGGATTAATAAAAGATCTGCACAATCATTCCCAATCTTGTCTCAGCTGCTGCTGTACATTGTGTTCACTTTGGGCATGTTTCAGTTTTGTGTTATTGTTATAATTTTGTTTTGCGTATTCAGACAGTACAGATCAAAGAGAGAGAGAAAAAGAAGGTTCATGGGCTTTACCTCATTGGTTAAAAGAATGAGATCTCATGAATGCTTGTACATTAATAATATAGAATTATAATGTATGTGGTACACTCATATACTGTAGTATTGGAATTTGCTCAGTGTCAACAAAGGTTGCCTAGCAATTAACATTCTCCTTCTAAGGCATGTACAATGTACATGTACATGATGTGTGATTGTCTGTGAAATGCAAATAAAATGACAAATGAAAATACATGTTCAAAAACATGAAAGTGCCCATTTACATATAAAACAATATAATATTGTTTCAAAATCTACATGCACAGGACAGGGAAGATACAGAACTTATTTACTGTATAAATGTATGGTCTATAACTCTGAATACACACACATGGTAAAAGAAAAAGAAGAAAATATAATCTTTCATCAAATTTTCAGATTTCATGTTCAGCATTTTCTTCATACATGTAAGTCACTTGGGCAACTGTTAACATTAATACGATAAGGCATTTGAAGAAAATAAAGAAATATAAGAAGAGAGAGAGAGAAAAATAAATGCTAATTATTTTCCTAGAATAAAACTAGATGGAATTTTGACCTCGCGCAGTCGAAAATGATGCCTCCGCCATAGAGCAATTTAAACAAGTTTGGAGTTTAAATCTCCAGTGGTTCTTGAGATATCATGATAACAATCTCAATGTATGGAATTTCATAAGTTGACCTCTGTGACCCTTGACCTTTGACCTACGTGCTCCAAAATCTAATCAGATTGTCTTCCTATGGTGATACACACTATCATTAAGTTTGAAGTTTAAATCTCCAGTGGTTCTTGAGATATTATGATATGGTGATACATACTATCATTAAGTTTGAAGTGAAAATTCTCCAGTGGTTCTTGAGATATCGCGATAACGATCTCAATGTATGGAATTTAATAAGTTGACCTCTGTGACCCTTGACCTTTGACCTACGTGCTCCAAAATCTAATCAGATTGTCTTCCTATGGTGATACACACTATCATTAAGTTTGAAGTTTAAATCTCCAGTGGTTCTTGAGATATTATGATAACAATCTCAATGTATGGAATTTCATAAGTTGACCTCTGTGACCCTTGACCTTTGACCTACGTGCTCCAAAATCTAATCAGATCGTCTTCCTATGGTGATACATACTATCCTTAAGTTTGAAGTTTTTACATCTCCAGTGGTTCTTGAGATATCATGATAACAATCTCAATGTATGGAATTTCATAAGTTGACCTCTATGACCCTTGACCTTTGATCTACGTGCTCCAAAATGTAATCAGATTGTTTTCCTATAGTGATACACACTATCACTAAGTTTGGAGTTTAAATCTCCAGTGGTTCTTGAGATATCATGATAACAATCTCAATGTATGGAATTTCATAAGTTGACCTCTGTGACCCTTGACCTTTGACATACGTGCTCCAAAATCTAATCAGATCGTCTTCCTATGGTGATACATACTATCCTTAAGTTTGAAGTTTAAATCTCAAATGGTTCTTGAGATATCGCGCTAACAAACTCAATACAAGGAATTTCATAAGTTGACCTCTGTGACCTGTGACCTTTGACCTACGTACTCCAAAATCTAATCAGATCGTCTTCCTATGGTGATAAATACTATTCCCGAGTCTTAAGTTTAAATCTTAAATGGTTCTTGAGATATTGTGATAACGGTCAAACGGAACGGACGTACGGACGTACGGACGGACAACCCGAAAACATGATGCCTCCGGCACCACCTTCAGTGGCGGAGGCATAAAAATCCTTATGATAGTCTGTCTTACATGCATTCTGATACTGTTTGCTCAAACAAAACAAAAATGCTCAATCCCACAGGAAAATTAGACTCATCCTGAATCACATCTTAAGTTTTATCAGAACTGAAAAATGAAATGGATGAATTAACGGAAAGCTTAAAAGCCATAGATTACAATAATAGCAATTATATGCGATTTTAGTGTCTGTCAAAGGAGTATCAGCTCTCTGAAAACTCAAAATCTAAAGCTTTGAAGATTAGAAGTTGTCGACCTAAAAACTTGCTATCGACTTGACGACATCATCTTATGTGGAGTACGCATGTTCACAATGACTTTGCGTTAATTAAGCACGGCTCATCGCCTCAGTTATATGATAGGTGAACCCGTCTGGTCAACATGTTATGTTGTCACTGTAACTTCAGCAAGTTTGACCCCTGTTGACCCATAATTTTTTATTTTTTTTGGGGGGGGGGGGGAGAAAATGAGGTTTTAATTTGCTTTTGTGCAATAATGAAAGGGTATATACTTGCAATACCTTTATATTTGTATTCTACTTTCATTCAGTTTTCTATTAGTTGTCTCTTCATCAGATAGGGTATTTTACATTTTACCACAAAAATATATAGTACCATCTATAAATTAAAAGTGGATTGACATTACTGTACCTTTTGATGGATCATTAGATTGAAATGGTGTTGACTTACTTGTGTTAAGCTGAATATCCTGTGGCTGATAGCCTGTGCGAGGTGTGCCTGTGGGTGCGCCATAAGCTAGGTTATCTACACCACGGGCTCCATACCTCAAGTCAGGACTAGGTTCCATGTTCTCATACTGGCTGGGCATCCCTTGACCCCCACTGTACCCCGAGGCCCCAGCGTAGCCAAGCTCCACGTTGACATACTCGCTGTCATTCTCCACACTTAGCTGGCCTCGTGGCTGCCTTCGTCTTGATGCAGATGACATCGTTGGCTTTTCGCAGAGTTCTCTCTAACGTCAGGCGTTGGTCTGTGATTTGAAAGACTGTATTGTATGCGTTGTACAGTGCAGCATGGACATCACATGATGGGTCAAGAATTTGCACAATCTACTTCATCTAGAAATATAGGGAAAATGAAATAGAGAGAAATGGGAAAGACAAATTAAGGACAAATTGAGCACTGGGCTTTGCCTTTGGTCTGTATTTCAGAAAATCTTTGGTCCAGCGTTAGTCGACTGTTGGTATAGCATTGGTCAACCAACAAACGTCTGGTCATCTTTTGCTGTTGGGGTATTGTAGAATTGCTTCAAAAACTATAAACTTATCCAAACTTACAAATTATAAGCTGGATGTTTTGACATTCTTTTCTTACCTGTTCCTTGAGACTTGTACAATAGACTAAAAAGCTTTTATTAACTTACAGTGACAGTTTGTTCTTTTACTATTCTCTAAACTCACATACCTGTAGTCCCTAGGGTCTTCTTTAAAAAAAAACATACATGCATGATCGGGGACTGAGATTTCTTTTCATGACCGGAGGAGACGAAATGCGATATTTAATTGTAAATTTTGAGGGATATTATGCGAGGGCGCGTGACGTCTAAGCGAGAAAATGTTTGCAATTTTATACTGAACGCTGCACTCTTGGGCCCTCCAGATCTAGAATCTTAAAATGTGTTGCAGTCTATAGTCAGTATTTGCTATACATTTTATTTTTGCACTTTTTCAAATTTTCTTGAGGGAGGGGTCAATCCCCCCTTAAAAAAATGAGGAGGGGGGCGTGTACACTATACACAGTCAGTACAGCTACTCCTGGGTTGAGAGTGACAGATGGGCGTGTGGGTTAATATCTTGCCATATCTTGTTAATATCTTGAACATTTCTTGTTGTGATGAGGCTTGAACACAAGACTTCTCAGCTCAAGTCAAGTGTTTACACTGCTTGACCATACTTCCTATGATGCATAATTAAAGCAACCTACATGGAGTTCATCTTCAACCTTAGTTGAGGAAAAATGAAATCATCAGTAACTTTCTGTAGACCTGTATCAGACTAGTATTTTACTTCTAGAATATTCTATAAAATGGTAATTTTAATTACTCTTTAGATTTTCTATGCAATTTTACATGTAACTTTTGAATGCATTATTTTTCCATATGATTCAACAGCATCAACAACTTCAAGCAGACACAGAGATGAAAGTGTCGGGAGTATCCAAGATGAGATTCTCTCCATACCATTCATGGAAGAAGTCGAAGATGAAGGTAAGAATTGTTGTACAGTAAGTCTGTTTTAACCTTTTGGCAATTGAAGCACATCAATTGCAAACACATTCATCCAATGCTCTTAAATCAAACAGATCTGACAGTTTCCTCGTCCAATAGTCAAAGTAACAATATCATTTAAATAAGGGATTTAAAACGGCCTGGAAATGTATACCCACACACGACTTGTATATCCAGACCGGTTGTGTATCCAGACAGCTAAATACTAAATTAGCTAATTAGTTTTAATGTACACATGTTTGCATCTAATAAAAGTAATAATTCCATGGCTGTCTTGCAAAATTAAGATATGTATTGTTAACAATATTTTAAGTGTAAAATAGATCTAGGACAGGTCTACTCATGAGTCATTAGTAGTTAAATTCATATTTTTCATGAAACACAGTACTTTATTTAGAGTGCAAAAGAGGTGGCTTTAGAAGTTTAGCCTTTACTAGAAATTAGAATGGATTACGTTTAGACTCAATGGAACTGGTTGAATGGTTCAGTCTTCAGACAGTGTCTGGACTCTCTCGAGTCCTGAACAGTCACAAGTTCACAACCGCCACCATCATGATCAATATAAATAGTGAGATAGTCTCAACTAGATCTGCAATATCTCCAAGGCCAAGGGCGAACGCTTTTGCAATTACAGATTTTTACAACGGACCAAGCAAAAGTAGACCTATAATCTACATGAAGCCGAAGCTGGCAGCCGTGAGCAACACACATCTTCATAGGACAGTTTACGGCAATTGATCGTCGCCGAGGCCCCCGAGAGTGATGGGGTAGGCTTCCCATGATTTCCGATATGGCTTGCAAGCCCAGTGGTACGTACGTGTGACTCAGTCTCAGTTGTCGCACGGGCACGGCCGCGAAGTCTAGGCAGCTACGCTAAGCTTTACTCATCATTACTCACGCAATTTCATTTATTAATTAACACAGAATAACGCACTATTAATTTGCAAAGCAATACCTTTGTTCTTACAGCGTAGTCGGGATCATGATGATAGTAGGAAACATGTTTTAGATAGGGAAGACAACACCTTTAGTAAAGTTTCTTGGCACTTTTCGTTTAGATCTAGGCGAGTACTCAGGCCCACTGTCGAAAGCTCTGATTCGATGACTTCCGGATAACTTTCGTCCATTGAGGGCGTACGTAACATAACAATGCAAAATAGGCTGTCCGAGGTCAAATGTAAACAGAACATCAGTGCAACAAAAGGGTGACGCCCAAGTATGAGAATTTTACCAAATGACTACTGGTTCGGCAACGAGTTCTTCAATTTTGACTATGATTATGCATTGTTGCATGTCTGTGTGTTTGGCGGTTGGTGTGTGTGTCATGGGAGGGGGAGGGGGGGGGGGGGGGGGGGGGGGGAGCTTAATTGCGTCGGGGGCTTACGTATGGTTGCCGTGTTACAGTAGTTCCTTGAGTGGTTAACGGTTCACTAATGTCTTGCTTATCAATTAAGTTAACGGTTATTATTATCTTGACAGTCATCGGAGAAATACTGTATTGTATAGAGACCCGGTCAATCTTCTATTATCTTTTTTTTTTTTTTTGTACAATCTTCTATTATCTTAATATCTTTATCTAGATCCTTGTTTGTAATTTGGTGCAAAGTTCGCCTCTTAGTTGCAAACGAGAGGTAGAGTGAGGCCGGAGCTGTAACCCCTTCCCTAGCAACAGATATCAATACTTGGAGAACCATACTGTCATAACCCCGGTTATAACCTCATATTCTGGCAGCGAGATGAAGGGTCCATTGTTGTTGTTTTTTTAATAAATATATTATGGACAACAAATGGCTGTATCAGCAGTGCAAAAAAAAAGAGATAGTCTTGCTTGCTCCGATCAAATCTACCTCCATCTCCTTCCTCCCCCCCCCCCTCCTTCCTCCTCTCCCCTCCTCCTTCCTCCCCCTCCCCCTCCTTCCTCCTCTCCCCCTCCTCCTTCCTCCCCCTCCCCTTCCTCCTTCCTCCCCTCCCCCTCCTCCTTCCTCCTCCCCTCCTCCTTCCTCCCCCTCCTCCTTCCTACCCTCCTCCTTCCTCCCCCTCCCCCTCCTTCCTCCTCTCCCCCTCCTCCTTCCTCCCCCTCCCCCTCCTTCCTCCTCTCCCCCTCCTCCTTCCTCCCCTCCTTCCTCCCCCTCCTCCTTCCTCCTCCTTCCTCCCCTCCTCCTTCCCCCTCCTCCTTCCTACTCTCCCCTCCTCCTTCCTCCTCCTTCCTCCCCCTCCTCCTTCATCCTCCTTCCTCCCCTCCTCCTTCCTCCCCCTCCCCCTCCTTCCTCCTCTCCCCCTCCTCCTTCCTCCCCCTCCCCCTCCTTCCTCCTCTCCCCCTCCTCCTTCCCCCTCCTTCCTCCCCTCCTCCTTCCTCCCCCTCCTCCTTCCTCCTCCCCTCCTCCTTCCTCCCCTCCTCCTTCCTCCCCCTCCTCCTTCCTCCCCCCTCCCCCTCCTTCCTCCTCTCCCCCTCCTCCTTCCTCCCCCTCCTCCTTCCTCCCCTCCCCCTCCTCCTTCCTCCTCCTTCCTCCCCTCCTCCTTCCTCCCCCTCCTCCTTCCTCCTCCCCTCCTCCTTCCTCCTCCCCTCCTCCTTCCTCCCCCTCCTCCTTCCTCCCCCTCCCCCTCCTTCCTCCTCTCCCCCTCCTCCTTCCTCCCCCTCCCCCTCCTTCCTCCTCTCCCCCTCCTCCTTCCTCCCCTCCTTCCTCCCCCTCCTCCTTCCTCCCCCTCCTCCTTCCTCCCCTCTTCCTCCCCCTCCTCCTTCCTCCCCCTCCTCCTTCTTCCTTTTCTTATTATCTCGTATAGTTCTATACCCCTCCTTCTTTTATACTTGATGGAATTTCAAATGAATGGTGGTTATTTTACCTGACTGCTAAGAAAGCATAAATGCTTGTAAGTAAGCAACCAGAAGGCTGACGGCTTTAGGTCCTCTCCGAGAGACCTGGTAATGAGGATTAATGCCTTACCAAAGGGCACTAGCGCATCGCCTTGGTTTCGAACCCGGTTCACCGGATTACGAGACCACTAATCTACCGACGGAGCTATCGCGCCTACTTTTTCTTTTTCTTCTTCTAATTATTCTTCTTCCACAGGTCTACTCGGCCTTTATCAGGGGAAGTCCACCGTGATATGAAGTTGGTTTAATGGAAGCAGAATAATGAGAGAAACAGTCATGTCAAAGAAATTGTGTGCAATAACTGATTCAAAATAATGGCAACTATGTGACGTATCTTGCATGCGAGCTCCCCTCCCATTCGCCCTATACTAAAAAATAAATAAATTTAAAGTTTTCCCCAACAATCCTAAATATAATTATTGCAAATACGTTTTTTTTATAAAAAAAAACTTTTGTGAAATAAACTTCCATTCCGTCATCAATGAGTTAAACAAATACAAAGCAAATCATCGTGTACAGTACGTCACAGTGTTTCACTGATGAACTCAAAGATTCATAACTTTCCTATTTTGAATTGGATTTTGCTCGAACTTTCACTTTCACAAACCAAATTTTAATATCAGGGGGAACTTCTCCTTTAATGTTTATATCCAGTAATAAATTAGACCTAATGATTTATAAATTATAATCGCAAAATTTTTATTGACGAAATCAAGACATGCTAAAAGGGATACAAAAATCGGATCCATCTCTTTACTTCATTCATTGTTTTAGATGAGAAGATTTCACATGCATGCGTTATCTACATGACAATAATGTTATTTTTCACATAAAATATTTAACTAAGTGAACCAAGCAATACCAGGTAGATGTAGTACTGTATAATTAGCAGCAATCTTCGCGCATAAAATGTAACATTTTTTATACCCATCTTCCTTTCTTTCTTCCTTATTTTCTTCCTTTCTGTCTTCCTTTCTTTCTTCCTTTCTTTTTTCCTTTCTTTCTTTCTCATTGTATATCCAGGCGCGGATCCAGGATTTCTTAGGGGGGGGGGGGGGCCCAAATTTGAAATTTTGCGAGCCAAATATTGGTACGTAATGGTGACCAACAGTGACGTAATGCGGGGGGGGGGGTCGGTGCAGGGAGGGGCGATTTTCCCCCTCCCTCCTCCGCGAAACGCGGAAGCTTTGACGTTTCTTTAAATTATTAGAGAAAAAAGACGATTCGTTGTACTGTTTACGAAAATAATTCTCGTCTGAATTTAGTTTTCCCCCTCCCGCGCGAAGCGCGGAAAATTTTACGATTTATTAAATTATTAGAGAAAGAAGACGATTCGTTGTCGAGTTCTCGACTCTTTATCCTCGTCTGAATTTAGGTTCCCCCCTCCCGTGCGAAGCGCGGAAGCTTTTACGATTTATTAAATTATTAGAGAAAGAAGACGATTCGTTGTCGAGTTCTCGACTCTTTATCCTCGTCTGAATTTAGGTTCCCCCCTCCCGTGCGAAGCGCGGAAGCTTTTACGATTTATTAAATTATTAGAGAAAGGAGACGATTCGTTGTCGAGTTCTCGACTCTTAATCCTCGTCTGAATTTAGGTTCCCCCCTCCCGTGCGAAGCGCGGAAGCTTTTAAATTTCCTTAAATCATTAGAGAAAGAAGACGATTCGTTGTACCGTTTTCGAAAATAATCCTCGTCTGAATTTAGATTCTCCCCCAACCCCCTCCTCCCGCGCGAAGCGCGGACGCTTTTACGTTTCATTAAATCATTAGAGAAAATAGACGATTCGTTGTACCGTTCTCGAAAATAATCCTCATCGGAATTTAGTTCCCCCTCCATCCCGCGCGAAGCGCGGAAGCTTTTACCTTTCATTAAATCATTAAAGATTCGTATTACCGTTCTCGCCTCTGAATCCTCGTCTGAATTCAGGTTCCCCCCTCCCGCGCGAAGCGCGGAAGCTTTGACGTTTCATAAGATTATGAGAGAAAGAAGACGATTCGTTGTACCGTTCTCGATTCTTAATCCTTGTCTGAATTCAGTCCCCCCCCCTCCCCTCCTGCGCGAAGCTTTGACGTTTCATTATATTATTAGAGAAAGAAGACGATGCGTTGTATCGTTCTCTATACTCTTAATCCTTGTCTGAATCAGGGGCCGTCTTAGGGCCCCTGGGGGGGGGGTCGAGGCGGCGGAGCCGGCCCCGGAAGCTCAGGGGTTTTACGCGTTTAATAAAGGTCAGATGAGCATTTTTTTGTATACCTTATTATTTTGTGAGACTGGCACGTCACTATTTGGCGTGGGGTCCAGGGGGCGGAGCCCCAAAATATCAGGGGTTTTAGGCATTAAATTACCGTCAGATGAGCATCTAAGGGCCCGCCGTAGGGCCCTAGGTGAAATCCAGGGGGCAGAGCCCCTGGAAGCTTAGGGGTTTTAGGCATTAATCACGGTCAGATGAGCATATTTTGATGCCTCATTATTTTTCAACACTGGCAGTTAACTATTCTTTCTTTCTTGCTCTCATTCTATTTTATTTCTCTTTAATATACTTTTTCAAAAAAGTAGGGGGGGGGGGGGCTCGGGGCTCCCGATCCCCGCCGTACCTCGGGCCCTGACAAGTAGGAATCAACTAAAAAGTGAGGAAAAATCTCGGAAATTATGTCATTTCAGCATTATTTGTAATCCACCGTTGTGGAATTAGAAATAAACCACGTTTGAATTTGATTTCCCCCAAGCCCCCCTATCAGTACGCCAGTATCTCCTCTTTTCCTTTTTTCTTTCCCTTTCCTTCCTTCTCTCTTATTTTTTTGATTGGGGGGGGGGGGGGTCAACAGCCTGGGAGGCAAGGCCCTTTCGCCTTCCCCAATCTCCTTCTTCCCCCTTTTCTTTTCTTCTTCCTCTTCTTTCTTTCCCTTTCTCTCTTCTTTCTCTTTCCCTTCTTTTCCTTTCTTCTCTCTTTTTTTTTTTTTTTTTTGCGGGGGGGGGGGGGGGCCAAGGCCCGCTCGGCCCCCCCCCCCTGGATCCGCGCCTGTGTATATCCACCGACAAAAATGAGCCTATCATTATCATTATGATTTTAAAATATTATTTTAATGGTATTAAATATTGACTGAACATGTATAATACACATGTCTGTCTCTACTTTGATTTATGCTAGAGGACAAATCGATACCACCTGTTTCATACGGACATAATGGCAGACGCAATCCCACAAAGTAGCTTTCTTTTATTGATGTGCATTGAGATAAATCTTGTCGCCG